CGGTGGAAGGTGGCTGCATGTCCAGAATCGCTTTTACTTTGGCCGGGTTAGGCTCGATTCCTCTCTTAGTCATCATATAGCCGAGGAATTTGCCGGTCTGGACCGCGAATGTACACTTGGTCGGGTTCAGCCGTAACTGGTACTTCCTCATGATCTGGAAGCACTCCCGAAGGTCCCGAGTGTGGTCGGATCGGTCCCGACTCTTGACCAACATATCATCGATGTAAGCTTCCATCGTTCGGCCCAGCAGATCAGCAAAGAGCATGTTGACCATCCTTTGGTAGGTCGCTCCTGCGTTTCGGAGGCCGAACGGCATCACTCGGTAACAATACAGCCCATCCGGGGTCACGAAGGCTGTCTTGCTCTCGTCTTCATGGTGCATCATGATCTGATGGTATCCCTTAAAGGCATCCATGAAGCTCATTAACTCGGCCCCAGCCGTCTCGTCGACCATCTGATGAATGCTCGGTAGAGTATACGGGTCGAGCGGACAGGCTTTGTTGAGGTCGGTAAAGTCGATGCACATCCTCCATGCTGGGGGCTTAGGAACAAGAACAATATTTGCCACCCACTCAGGATAGACCACCGGACGGATGTGCTCGATCGCCGCCATCTTTTTGACTTCTTCTCTTACAAACTCGCGGCGATCGGAGGAGAGGTGTCGTGTCTTCTGCACGACCGGCTTAGCGGCGGGATCGACGGCCAATTTGTGACAAATGACCGACCGATCGATCCCGGGCATGTCTTCAGGCCCCCATGCAAAAATATCGGCATACTCCCGGAGCACGGCCAGAACTTCCGCTCGGATCTCGGGGGTGAGGGCTCGGCCAATCTTGATCTTCCTATCCGGGCGATCTTCGGATAGGGGAACTTCTTCTATCTCTTCGGAAGGCTCGGGCTGCTCCTTCCGTTCCTTAGCCTCCTCTTTGGCTATAGTGTTCACCTGGGAAGATGGACCGGAATCACGTCGATTAACTGCTCGGGTGTAACACTTCCGGGCGGATTGGACATCGCCACGGACCACGCCGACCCCGTTAGGGGTGGGGAATTTCATGCACAGGTGGGGCATAGAAATTATCCCACCGATCTTCATAATGGCGGGTCGGCTCAAGATAATGTTGTGGACGCAATGGAGGTTGACCACAACAAATTCCAGCTCCGTTTGGATCGACTTTGGAGGCGTGCCGATCTCGACCGGGAGCGTTATTTTTCCCTCGGGGTAGATAAGAGCCCCGGTAAATCCTGACAGTGGTACACCGACCGGAGTCAGCTCCTTCCTGTCAAGGCCAAGCTTCTCAAACACGTCCAAGTATAGGACGTTCACACTACTGCCCGTGTCAACCATAACCCTTTGGACATCCGTCCCCTTGACGTCAATCGTGACCACGAGCGCCTCCATGCCGTGATCACTGCTGGTGGGTTGGTCCTCGAGGGTGAAGGTTATGGGCTCCATCTTCTGCCTCTTCCCGGTCTCCCAGGAATCCACTACTGCGACCGGGCAATTTGTCCGCGGTCGGGAAGCATCTTCCAGCCCACCAAAAATGACATGGATGGTTGGTTTTCCGGACGGGCGGCTACCGGACGGAGGGTCAGGGTCCCGTCGGTCATCATGACGATTGTCCCTTCGATCGTCTCTTCGGTCCTGGCCCGACCGATCAGAGCGGTGATGAGATCGTCTGTGATCCCTCCGATCGGTATTTCTCTTGCTGTCTTCTCTCTTTCCCACACACTTGTCCAATTTTCCCAAATTGAGCAAATCTTCCAATAATTGGCGCAAGTGGGTACACTCCTCGGTGTCATGCCCGGCGCATCGATGGTAAGCACAATGCTTACTCTTGTCAGGGCCGTCTCGTTCGGGATGGGGAAGTTTGATGAGATTGCAGGACTGGGCGTATTGCATGGCCTCTGCTGCGGATCGGTTCAAGGCCGTAAACTCCCCAGGCCTGGTGCGGGATCGGGGATGGTCATCTCCCGACCGATGTTCCGCCCGGCCGGCCGGTTTACGGGACGAAGAGCCGACCTCCTGCAAGCGCTTGACGGCATTCGCCTCACCTGCGTTGGCGTAATCAGTGACCCTTCGGAGGGCCTCCTCATAAGTGGTCGGGGGGTGGAGGATAAAATCCTGGTATAGATAACCCGCCCGGAGGGAGATGTGAAGCATGTGAGTGGCGGTCGCATCATCCATGGGCTCGACCTCCCCGACTGCTGCCTTCCACTTGATGAGGAAGTCGGTCAAGCTTTCCCCTTCGAGCTGCTTGGCCTTTTCGAGGTACATATAGGACTTCCTCACCACTTTGGAAGTAATGAACTTCCGTACGAACTTGATCGCCAGGGTCTCAAATTTGTCGATTGACCCTGGCTGCAGGGTTTGGAACCATTCTGCCGCCCGACCGGTGAGGGTTGAGTAGAAGGCCCTGCACATCACGGCGTCTGAAACGCCCTTCAGCATCATATTGCTGAAAAAATCATTCACGTGAGCCTCAGGATCTGTCCGACCGTCGTAACTCTTCTCTCCCGAGACCTTTAAGTCGAGCGGGTAAGGCTGAGCCATTACCGCTGCTGTAAAAGGCGTCTGGTGTAGGGTCGATCGGTCGGCCGGGGGTGCTGTAGGATACGCACTCCTGAGCTGCGCAACTTCGGCCTGGAGGTTGTAGAGCAATCCTCGGGTTTCGTTGAGCTCGGCGGCTTGAACGGCCTGGGCTGTATCCCGAGCGCGTCGCCGTCGGTGAGATCTCGACCCGCTATACCCGGATGAAGCCTCGTGGCTAGCTTCCTGCATTTGTACGTCCTCTTGCCCGCGATTCGGGTCTTGGGGTCCCAAACGCTGGCGCATCTCCGGTCGGAGACGATCAAAAGCTACCGCTCGGGCAACTTCTTCAGGGTCCTCCGGTTGAACGGCCTGAGCTGGTGCCTCCATCGCATCAGCACCCCCCGACCCCAACCGCGAATGAGCCGAGCGTCGAGCCCGGGAAGTGGACTGACGCTGCGGCTCTACTTGTGCGGTCGGCTGTACTGGAGGGGCGGCGGCTGGAGCTGTATAAGCTGGCGTATATGGTGGGTAACCAACCGGGGAAGTGTAGCACATCGGTTGGCCTGGCCAGTACCCATACGGTGGAGGTGGGACCGGGTACGGATACTGGGCGGGATACATCATCGGCGGCTGCTGGTATGGCAGACCGGGTGTCGGGTATCCCGGCTGTATGTAATTTACCGGCTGCTGGGCGGCCGGGTATGCATTTGACGGATGCGGTGGTGAGAGGTTGAGGTTGAGGTCCATTGTCTGACCCTGCTGTTGGGTAGCATAGTGGTCGGAGGAGCTCGCCGCATCCGCCTGGTCGTCAGAGTGATAGACAACATCTGATCCGTTAAATCTAGAAATGTGGATGGTTATGATTAGTTCTCAGCTCTTTTCTGGGCATTCGATCTCACTTGAGCGCACCTCTCTCTCTCTCTCTCTCTCTATATATATATATATATATATATATATATATATATATATATATATATATATATATATATATATAATATTTATATTTATTTATTTATTTAGGGTTATTGGCATTCCATTGTAGTAGTAGTACTATTCACTCGTTCCTAACTCTTCAAAAATAGCACCATAATATATATTAATATATTTAATTTGTCCTTATACAACATTTTTGTGGTGGTTTAAGTCATTTTCTTTTGAAATTGAGCACGAGCGTTATGCTGTGGTGGTTTAAGTCATTTTTGTGGTGGTTTTGACGTCTGACTTAAAAAAGAAAAATCCAGAATTGCATAATTACACATCAATAACTTCATAATTATACATCCTGAATTGCATAACTATACATTCATAACTTCATAACTATAAATCTAGAATTGCATAACTACACATCCATATAACTTCATAATTATAAATCAAGATCGAATTGCATAACTACACATACATAACTTCATAACTATAAATCCAGAATTGCATAACTACGCATCCATAACTTCGTAACTATAAATCCAGAATTGCATAACTACATATCCATAACTTCATAACTATACATTCAGAATTTAATGCATAACTACACATCCATAACTTCATAACTATATATTCAAAATTGCATAACTACACATCCATAACTTCATAACTATACATTAAGAATGTGAAATTATAACTTCATAACTATACATTCAGAATTGCATGCATAATTACACATCCATAACTTCATAACTATAAATCCAGAATTGCATAACTACACATCCATAATTTCATAACTATAAATCCAGAATGTGAAATTATAAAATTATGAACATATGTTTACGTAACTAACGACAATCGAAATATATATTTTTTTAATGTAAGTAAAACAACGTCGTTTTTGCATCCGTGTGCACCATGCATGGTGCACACGGATGCACAACATAATTTGCCGTTATTGTTTTATAGGGCCACAACCGGCCCAACGTACCAATAAAAAGTGAGCTAAGGCTAACCCCATCCTAGCGGGTTGTTATATCGTGGACCGCGGTGCACAACGCCGTTAGTTTTAACGGAGCGCGCATTTTTTTGTATGTTAATTACCAACTGAGACTATACTATATCTAAATCGACATTACCCCACGTATTATTTTTATATTATCAAATGAAATTGTAATTATGTAAACAAACCTATTTCAATTTTATGAAGATTTTTTTTAGTCTTTTTACATTTGTTAGCTTATCAAAAAGTTAATTTTATCAAACACTTTTAAACATAATCAGCTAGCTTAATAGCTCTTCAGTTTCCTTATAACTTATACATTTTCAGATAGGTTTGCCAAATATAGCCAAAAAAAAATACATGAATCACAATATAATGATTTCCTCTCTTTAAAGGACAAGAGTGCGCCGCCATTCCCGCCAACCAAGCTGGTTAATTATATAAAAATTATGTTAAAGTGGATAAACCAAAAACAAAAGGTTATACTATAATGGCTATTTATATGCATGGTTGGGCGAGTGGACGAACCAAACTATCATCTCTGCAATGGCAATGGAAATGGCGTCTTCCGTCTTGCTAACCGCTTTCTTTCTCTTCCCTATAGCCTTTGCTGCCAACTCCGGCACCCTTCCCGCCTTCAAAAGCATCTATCAATTTGGAGATTCCCTCTCCGATACCGGAAACTTACTCCGTTGGGGCACTATGTTTTACCCCGCCGACAAACTCCCATATGGCGAGACCTACTTCCATAAAGCCACCGGTAGGTTCTCCAACGGCCGCCTCATCGTCGACTACATCGCCACCGCAGCTAAGCTCCCGTTCCTCGACGCGTACCTGGACAAAAAAGGTTCATTTGATCACGGCGTAAACTTCGCCGTCGCCGGAGCAACGGCGAACGAGAGAGAATTTTTCGACAAGCAAAACATTTCCTACGGCGAATTCAAACCTGCGATTCTCGAGCAACTGGAGTGGTTCGAAGAGTTCATTAACTCAACCTGCCGCGCCAAATGCGCTGAAAAGTTCGGAAAATCTCTCTTCATCTTCGGAGAATACGGCGGGAACGACTACTTCCCCGCCTTCGAGCAAGGAAAGTCCATTGCTGAGGTCAAGACTTACGTCCCTCACACCGTCGCCTCTATTATCCACGGAGTTAAACGGGTCATCCATCACGGAGCAAAGCGGGTTCTAGTTCCGGGTCCCTTTCCGTTCGGGTGCTTGCCGTCGCTACTTACCTCCGCCGCCACCGACGACGCCGCCGCTTACGACCAATTCGGATGCCTGAAACAGTACAACGCCTTCATCGCCTACCACAACAGCTTCTTGAGCGACGCTGTGTCTAAGCTCAACCGACAATACTCCGGCAAAGGCGTCGTGATCGTCTACGGCGATTTTTACGGCGGTTTCATGAACATTTTGCACAACGCAAGAAAGCTTGGATTCAAGTCGTTGGTGAAAGCTTGCTGCGGAGGGGGTGGGACTTACAATTTCAATAAGAACAAATCTTGTGGAAGGGAGGGGGCTACGGTGTGCACCAACCCGAAGGCCGCCGTGCACTGGGACGGCGTTCATCTCACCGACGCGGCTCACCACTATATTTCGCAGTTCGTCATTGATCAAGTGTCTAGCAAGCTCGCCCTAGCTTCAATTTAGTGATTATATTCATCAGAAAATCCTAATCACTACTCAGAATAAGGTAACTAGGGACTACCAGTTTCTCTAGTCATTTCAAAATAATTAGCCCTAATGATAAGCGCCAACTTGGAGTTGGAATGATGGTTTTAGGGTTTGAAGTTGGCATAATGATGTATTGATGTCTTGTTATGGTGTCCATGTAATAAGTTGCATGTGTGTTATTTTATTTTATATATTATACTAATGCCGTTGTGTTTGCTTTTTTTTTTTTTTTTTTTTTTTTTAACATTACGCACTTTTAAAATTTTTTGAGAACCATTATAGTTTTTGTTTGGATCAGACCATAAGGTGTCTTGTAAGAGGCACTTTTAAACTCGTACCATACTTAAACTAATCCCCTAAGAGGCACTTTTAAGCCCGTACCATACTTAAACTAATCTCCGGGTCGGCCTAATTAAGGGACAGACACCATTAAACTTGTAAGATTAATTTTTTCATATGAGAGGGACTTCGAACTCCGGACCTCTCTTAAAGGACAAGCTAAGTTAGATTGCACAGCCACTCACACCACCCAAACTGGTTTGGTTCGCATACTTTTTATGTTATGGAATAAACTACGGTGACGTTGGTTCATGGAATAAACACAAAATGAAATAAGTTTATTTTTATGTTTGGTTTATATACTTCAGGTAGTGGTTGCAAGTTCAAATACATAGAAATCCAAAATCCTAAAAAATCTCTAAAAGATAAAATAGAAATCCAAAAGATTTAGAAGAGTTAATTGAGTCTAAATTCATTTTTACTTTTATTTATTGTATTATACAATAAAAATAAAATAATTTTTTTATCCAAATATAATGTATAAGCACTATCACTCCTAGTACAAACTACTTCAAGCTGGCTTCCTTGATCACTAAGCCGGACATCCACTTGAAAGGTTTTTCAACTCCGAGAGTTTACTCCGCCTCTATCAACTACTTCCTGAGCTGAGATGTTGGAAAAGAGATCTGATGTTTCTCCAACTGATTGAAGCTTGTCTTGATGTCTAGGTAGATCTTCACTTGAGAAAAGAACAAGACAGCTTCAGGTTGTGAAGTATGAGGATGGATATGCCTTTGAAAAACTTCACAACAAACACTGGTTATGAAAAGTTAAGAAGATGGAACTGCTTTGAAGAGCTTTTCTTTAGATTGAGAGAGTGAGTTAACCAACACTTTCTTCCATGGAGAAGAGAGGTATTTATAGGTGGGAAAAATCCATCTGTTATAGGGAGATGAAAATTTCAAACCTAAAAACCAGCGTGTATTACTCAGTGGGCATTGAGCATTAAATGCACTTGTACTGTATAGCTGTTGGAGCCAAAAGCATTATGGCTTTTGTCCTTGATCTCTGACAAGAAGGTACAAGTCTTTTAATGCTCATTGTCTTTAGTGAAAATCATTCCTAGGACACATTTTGTCCGAATGATTTGCCCAACAGAGTGATAGACAACATTCTCATTGTTTCCTTTAATGAGGGTTGTCTTTCAACAAGTCCATCCTTGACTTGTTTACTTAGGAATGGAAGATTGTCCTTTATCTTTCATCTTTTCTTCTTGAACGAAAGTTCCTTTTGTCGAAGCAGTCTATCCGAGACTTGCTTTAATCCTTCCTTCGTCTGTAAGCATCTTTCGATCATCTTCGAATCTTCATGTAGACCTATTCTACTAGTCACGTGCATGGTTTTAACATTCCATGCCTATGTCATACGAGACTTTCTAATAAACAAAAAATAGGGGTCTACATCCTAAGACATTTTGGTATCATCAAAATCTAAATACACTTGTTCCTAACATATATACCGTACTAAGCGATAGAGAGAGAGAGAGAGAGAGAGAGAGAGAGAGGGGGGGGGGGGGGGGGGGGGGCTTTAGGCATTCCATTGTAGTGAGTTCTACTACAAAGACTCCCAAATTTTACTCCCTATATTTTATTACATGATGTGATGGGTACTGAAAAACTTTTTTTTCTATCAAGTTGGTCTCGATACAAGTATTTACACCAAGATTTTGTGTATGGAAGTAAAAGTTAGGAGCAAAAAATTGGAGTATATAGAGTATTTTCTCAATGCTACTATTCACACGTTCACAATGTTGGATCTCAGCGCTGCACTATGCTCACTTCCCAAGGGGTCACCCTGACCGAGATTGCCGGAAGTCAAGCACGCTTAACCACAGTTCTATGGTACCTAGTTGCCATATCCTACTTAAAACCAATTAGTGATAAGTAGGTGGACATTAACCATTTAACCACATCTCCATGGTAAGCCACATCGCCACGTCCCGAATCGAGCAGGGACTGAACTCGGCCAACCCGTCCGACGCCCAACACACAACTCTTCATAAATAGTACCATAATATATAATTATCCGTATAAAACATTTTTGTGGTGGATTAAGTCATTTTCTATTTAAATTTAGCAAGTTACACATATATAGGCTGGTCCTATTGTTTTATAGGGCCACAACGTAGCAATAAAATTGGTTAGATACAGAGAACATATATTTTCATAAATAAAGAGTTTTTTACTTGCCATTGGAATCGTCCCAACTAAATTCGCCAAGTTTACGCTAATTTATCTCCTTGTAATCTTTTATTGACAAAGGCAATGTTTACTCGATACACACCTTTGAATAGAGGTAATAAATTTCATTCATCACGTAATAAAAAAAATTTAAAAATATTTATAATGTATAGTGCACCGCTGCGCTATATGCTTTAAGAATGTTATATAATTCTTTCAACTTTTCACCGAAGGGCTCTGATGTGACCGTCTCACGTGTCTCAATATGTGAGATAGGTCAGATCTAACAAAAATTAACTATAACATAATTGCATATATAATCAATATTCTATACCTTATATAAAATATTTTATATCATAAATATAATACTTTATAGTAAAACTCTAATAGACAATTCATTAATAGAAAAATTCAGAGTTGCAATGAAAAATTGCAACGAAACGAAATTGCAACGGAAAAAAATTTTCATTGCAATTGAGGCAGAAGTGTAAATTTTGGCAAAAAATAAAATAAAATGGAGGAATACATTTTTGCAACTGAAATTGCAATGGAAACAAACATGCGTTGTAATTTTTGCAACCGATTTTGCAACGATCGTAAATTCCGTTGCAACATTTCATTAATTTTTAATAGTTGGAACTTTTACAACGGTATTTGCAACATTGTTGTAAAAATCGGTCAAGACGCCCCTAGACTGTGGCGATTTCTTCCTAGTCGATTGCCCGCCTAGGCGCCTAGCGCCTAACTCGGCCGAGTTAACTCTTCCATTTTGATTGAGTTAACCCGGTCGGCTCGGCGTTACTAATTTTTTTTTATTATATATATATATATATATATATATATATATATATATATATATATATATATATATATATATATATGACACACAACTACATTAGGCCATGCACACGACATACAGACTAATGGCACACGACTACACTAATAATGGCACACGACTGTGCGAATTAGTGTAGTCGTGTGCCATTAGTCTGTATGTCGTGTGCATGGCCTAATGTAGTTGTGTGTCATATATATATATATATATATATATATATACACGTGCACTGTTTTTTTTTTTTCCTTAGTTTGCCGCATATGCGCCGCCTAGACTGTCTAGGCGCTAGGTGCTCCTCTTCCTCCTGACTAGCGTCCACGACATAATTTGCCTACCATGATTTAACTCCTTCCACATGCTCTGTCGGGCCGGAGCGTGGGGGCCCTTAGAGTTGGGTATTCAATTTTTTGGAAGAAGAAGAATTGTAACATTGCACATAAGTAAAAAGAATAATAATAACAATAACAATAATAACAACAACAATAACAACAACAACAACAACAACAACAACAATAATAATAATAATAATAATAATAATAATAATATTAATAATAATAAAAGCCAACTAGGCTTTGCAATTGTCAAAATACCAAAGGTGTTAGATAACCTAATACTTTTAACTATTATCATTAATTGTATCATTTTTTAAAATAGAATGATTAAATTAAACAAAATACAGGTATGTCAAAGGCCTTGTGCTCAAGCGGCACAGTACTAATGGTCTAATTTGTATTGTCTAATAATATGTCATGTACTTGTGTTTATGTGTTTGAATATTGAAACATATGGCCGGGGTATCAACTATGTCACCGCGTGCTAATAGTCTAATTTGTATTGTCTAATATGTACTTGTGTTTATGTGTTTGAATATTGAAACATTTGGGGTAAGATAATGTCAACTATGTCACTGCGTGCTAATAGTTAATAATGTATGTTATATGTTTGAATATTGAAAAGTAAGATAATGTATCTTATGAATTAGAATAACGTTTAGTATGCACGTGAAAAACAAATTACACGAAACGATGTCATTTTTGAACCCTAGTTGGACCAGGATCCATGCAATAACTAGTGTACTATAACGGCTATTTATATGCATGGTTGGGCGAGTGGACGAATCAAACTATCATCTCTTCAATGGCAATGGCAATGGCAATGGCGTCTTCCGTCTTTCTAACCGCTTTCTTTCTCTTCTCTATAGCCTTTGCTGCCAACTCCCGCACCCTTCCCGCCTTCAAAAGCATCTATCAATTTGGAAATTCCCTCTCCGATACCGGAAACTTACTCCGTTGGGGCAAAATGTTTTTCCCCGCCGACAAACTCCCATATGGCAAGACCTACTTCTGTAACGCCACCGGTAGGTTCTCCGACGGCCGCCTCATCGTCGACTACATCGCCGACGCAGCTAACCTCCCGTTCCTCGACGCGTACCTGGACAAAAACGGTTCATTTGCTCACGGCGTTAATTTCGCCGTCGCCGGAGCAACGGCGAACGAAAAAGAATTTTTCGACAAGCGAAACATTCACTACAAGGAATTCAAACCTGCGATTAACAAGCAACTGGAGTGGTTCGAATCCTACATTAACTCAACATGCTGCACCTTCGAACAATCTCTCTTCATCTTCGGAGAATACGGCGGGAACGATTACTTCCTCGCCTTCGACGAAGGGAAAGGAAAGTCCATTGCTGAGGTCATGACTTACGTCCCTCACACCGTCGACTCCATAATTAACGGAGTTAAACGGGTCATCGATCACGGAGCGAAGCGGGTCCTAGTTCCGGGTCCCTATCCATTCGGGTGCTTGCCGTCGCTACTGACCTCCAAAGCCACCCACGACGCCGCCGCGTACGACCAATTCGGATGCCTGAAAGCGTACAACGACTTCGCCTCCTTCCACAACAGCTTCTTGAGCGTCGCTTTGTTTAACCTCAGCCAACAATACGCCGGCAAGGACGTCGTGATAGTCCACGGCGATTTTTACGGCGGTTTCATGAATATTTTACACAACGCAAAACAGCTTGGATTCAACGACGAGAACGGGGCGTTGGTGAAAGCTTGCTGCGGAGGGGGTGGGACTTACAATTTCAATAACATCACATCTTGTGGAAGGGAGGGGTCTACGGTGTGCACCAACCCGACGGCCGCCGTGCACTGGGACGGCGTTCATCTCACCGACGCCGCTCACCACTATATTTCGCTGTTCGTCATTGATCGAGTGTTTGACAAGCTCGCCCTTTAATTTACTGATTCATCGGAAAAAAACCCTAATCACATGCAGCTAGCTACGGTCTTAATAGAATCAGGTAAGTAGCTAGTTAGCGGTTGCGAGTTTCTCTAGTCACTTAAAAATAAATAAATAAGCTCGCGTCAACTAGTAGTTGTTTATAAAATAGGGTTTCTTCCATTATTATTATTATTTTGCAAGGATGATGTTTTTAGGGTTTGAAGTTGGAATGATGTCTTGTTATGATGTCGATGTACTAAGTTGCATGTGTGATGTTTTATTAATTAATCTACTAGTGCCTTTGTGTTTGATTTATTATTATTTTTTTATTTATTTTTACATGCATTACACACTTTTTAAAAGTTATTGAGAACATTTATAATTAGTGACGGGGTAACGGGTTTGGTTCACATACATTTTATGTTATGGAATAAACTATGTACGGTGATGTTTGGTTCATGGAATAAACACAAAATGAAATAGGTTTATTTTTATATGTTTGGTTCATAAAATGAAATAGGTTTATTTTTATATGTTTGATTCATATACTTTAAGTTGTGGTTGTAAGTTTCTCTAGTCACTTAATGATTATAAGCGTGACTATATCAAATAAAAAGTTATGTTGCATATTTTATTTTTTAATAAGAAATAATTAAAACAGAAAATATAAAACAATAAAGAAAAAAACATAAGAAAAGCAAATGAAAAGTTTAATAATAATAATAATAGATTTAGAGTGGCCGCCAGCAGCTGACACTCCTGACAGCCACTTTGGAGCACGCTTACGGGCACCCGTTGGGGTGAGACGTGCGCTATAAGCGCACATCTAACTTTTTTTTTTTTTTTTTTTTTTTTTAATTTTTCCTGTCAAAATCCCAACTTTTACTAGAGAAAGATTTGCCTAAAAACTACTCTCAACATTAGCCAAAAATCACTCCTCAATTTTTTTTTTTCCTATAAAAATCCCAAAAGATTCACTAATGGTGATGATCTAAGTTATTGAAATCTAAATCAATCAAATCAAGTAATTTTATTCAGTATTAATTATTGTAATTAATTTAAGAATAAATATTTGATGCATAATCAATATATACCTTTTGATAACTTAATAATTTAGACGATTGGTAAGCAGCTGAATCGGTTTTTTTTTTTTTTTTATTTTATTTTAAGGAATACAGATCAAATCCCAATTAGTTTCACAATGATGTTATGTTGATCAGACTATTAATTTTATAACCACAATGTTTCAAGTTGGACTTCTCGTGGAAGCGCCTTCTTAGCGGATGATGGATTATATGAACCCGGGGGTCCGGATTATACAACCCGAATATATGATTGAATATAATAAAACGATAATAGAGGCAGAAATAATGTACGAATAAGCGTTACGGGGACGAATATTGCATTGATTGAGTGTATAGTGCATCAATAAGAGCACTATTAATAACCAACATGGTTGGCATGGTGGTTCAGCACCTTGTCCCTTAAGCATGAGGTTGGGGGTTTGATCCCACTCATGTGAATGGAGCAAACCATTTGGTCAGTCCCCTACCTTTTTGGGCTAAGCCAAGCCGTTATTATAAATAATAATTGCCATATTATTCCATCATGAGTCCCCCACGGGCATGCATATTATTCCATCATGCATGAGTCCCCACTTTCTTAATTGTAAGTATCCAAAGTTCTGACCTTCCCTACTCTGAGCATTGAAGATCATATTAGAGTCACAGTTAGGTACAGGGAGCACCTAGGAGTTCATGACGGTCATTTCCTGTAATTGACATATGACAAATGATCGTCGAGGCATGCCCTTAGTATTTGTTTAAACGTAAAATTAAAATTGAAGATAGCTTCGAAAATCTATATCTTCTTTTAATTTATTGTGACCAACACCAAACTTATCTTATTCGTTGTAACGGTTGTTGTAATAGGTAGCGCGGAGCTTACCATATAATTTAAGAGGTAGCGAGGAGCTTACCGTGTAATTTAGACGGTAGCGCAGGACTTGCCTCACAATATAATTGACAGCACAGAGCGTACCATATTATATTATATAGGTGATAGCATGGAGCGTGCCACATTATACAGTTTTAGAATAAATTGACAATTGGTCACATTAACAAGTTAAATAATAATAATAAAAATAATAATAATAATAATAATAATAACAATAATAATAACTTCTTCTTTTGAAAGGATAATAATAATAACTTATCTTTTCGTAATATATAAATGAGATTGTAATCTTTCTTTTCCCTTAAAGTTCTTTTAAAAGTGTGCAAAAATAAATGTGACAATCAAATCGGGACTGATAGTACTAATTTGGTGATTTGACAACTGTTTTACCGTTCAAAAATCCTGAAAACTTCATAGCTATCCTATAAATACGGAGTGTAATTGGAGAAAACAAATTAAAACATAGTGCAGTACCCTTTTATGTGCAGTCTGCAATCTGCAATGGCGTCTTCCTTCTTTCTCACTGCTTTCATTCTCTTCCCTTTAGCCTTCGCTGCCAACTCCCCGCACTTTCCCTCCTTCAAACGCCTCTACCAGTTCGGCGATTCCCTCGCCGACACCGGAAACTTAATCCGCCTCCCCGGGCGCGGAGGCAGTGGGTATTACCCCCCGGAACACCTCCCTTACGGACAGACCTTCTTCGGAAAACCCACAGGTCGGGTATCCGACGGTCGTCTCATCGTTGACTTCATCGCCGCCGCTCTCAAGCTCCCGTTCCTTGATGCCTACCTGAACGCCAACGGTTCATTCGCTCACGGCGTTAATTTCGCCGTCTCCGGAGCAACGGCGCTCGACGAGGACTTTTTTGCGAAGAGGAACATTAACACCTCCAATTTCAGACCGCCGATTAGCAAGCAATTGGAATGGTTCGAGACGCACCTCAACTCTACGGGTGCACGCTCGGAAAGCCTGGAAGATTCGCTTTTCATTTTCGGTGAATTTGGCGGGAATGATTACTTCCACTTCATTCGCCAAGGAACTCCCCTCGAAGAAATTAGGGCTAACGTACCTTACGTCGTCGCCGCAATAATTCACGGAATTAAACGGATCGTCCATCTCGGAGCTAAGCGGATCGTGGTTCCCGGCCCGTTCCCGTTCGGCTGCTTGCCGCCTCAACTCGCCTCTTCCAATTCCTCCGATCCGGCCGATTACGACGGCTTTGGATGCCTGAAAGCGCTCAACGCCTTCACTTCCTACCACAACGACTTTCTAAAACGCGCTCTGTTTTCACTCAATCGAGAACTCTCCGGCGACGGCGTCGTGGTCGTTTACGGCGACTACGAAGGCGCTTTCCTTGAAATTCTCCGGAAACCATCTTCATATGGATTCGATAAGGAGTGGTTGATTAAAGCCTGCTGCGGAGGGGGCGGGAAGTATAATATCAACCCGACGAAACGTTGCGGAACCAATGGTACTACCGTATGCCCCCGCCCAGGCCACGCCGTCAATTGGGACGGCGTTCATCTCACCGATGCATCTTATCATCGAATTTCTCATATTCTCATTCATCAGTCGATCAGTAAGCTGATATAAGTCTTAGTGACATATAATTAGTGAATAATTAATTGGTTAAATAAAAGTCCTTGGTAGGGTTGGTTTTAAGCATTTGGCTCCATTGTTGCTGAGTCATTGAGTCACTTACATCCTGCTAGCTTTATCAAATTAGGGTGGGAACCTTTAAGATCGATGATTCAATCTTTCAGAAGACAAGAAAAATATAGTAAAAATAGAATAATTAAACTCAAAATATAATAAGTAGTATTTTATTACAGAAAAGGAAGTTTGAAAAAAATCTGCATTATACCTTTTTCATGGGTATTTATATATGTCAATTTTACCATGATTAGGGTAATAAATTTCCCAATTCATGCTACATGATTTGAAAAAAGTAACCTTTTATATTAAAGAAAGGGAAAATGGCACTTTTTCCCCTATGTTGTTTACTAATAGCACATTTTCTCTCTGTGTTGTTTATGTAATCACTTTATCCCCCTTAATTGTTTTTTAAGTGACTATTTTTTCCCCTCTCCGTTAAGTAAGTGTTAGGGCTGTTAAATATGGGGGTAAAAATGACATTTCACTGAACGACCCCACCCAACACTCTAATATACTGCAGTTTGCAAACCAAATTCATTGCTAATAATAATAATAATAAGTCACACCCAACGCCCTAATATATTGCAGTACTCCACGCCTAAAATGCATAGTTATATTGCAAACCAAATTCATTACTAATAATAATAATAATAATAATAATAATAATAATAACAACAAGTGAAATGCCATTTTTACCTTCATATTTAACATCCCTAACATTTATTTAATGGAGGGGGGAGAAAATAGTCACTTCAAAAACAATTGAGGGAGATAAATTAGTTACATAAACAACACAAGAGAAAAAAGGGCTATTAGTAAACAACACAGGGAAAAAAAGTGTCATTTTTCCTTAAAGAAATAAAAATAAAGCCCCATAAATAAGGAAATCAAATACAAAATGGAAATTACTTTAATTTTGTAACCCCCAATCTTATTGATTCCAATTTCCAAGTCAATCTTCAAACATCATTAATTTATCGTCAAGGTTTAATGGCCAAGCACCAAGTCCGACCACCAGTCTGATTTGCGGCAAATTTTGTTCTACATCATGGTGCACACGGATGCAAAAATGATGTTGTTTTGATTAAAAACGCGCGTCTCACTTTAAAAAAAAAAAACAATTTCACTTTAAAAAAAAATCAATTTTGATTTCCGGCAACAGCATTATATTGTGCATAATTTAAACTATATATCCAGAATGAATGAACTAAATATCTAGTATGCATGAACTAAATATTCATAATGAATGAACTAAAAATAGAGAATGAATGAACTAAAAATAGAGAATGAATGAACTAAATATCCAGCATGAATGAAAAAAAATCAGTTTTGATTTCCGTATAAATATCCAAAATAAATGAACTAAATATCCAGAATGAATAAACTAAATATCCAGAATGAATGAACCAAAAATTAAGAATAAATGAACTAAAAATTCATAATAAATGAACAACATAATGCTGTTGACAGGAATCGAAACAGAGTTCTTTTTTTTTTTTTTTTTTAAATAAGATGTGAGTTTTTAGTCAAAATAACGTTGTTTTTTGTAATGGTGGAGCACACGGTTGCAAAACATAACGATGGGAAGTCAAGTGTTGAATTGGAGAAGTCACTGTCTATACCAATAAAAGGGTACACGTGGCCGTTGTTATGCCGTGGTGCTTATACGTACAAGTAATTGTTCAATTTTTAGAGAAGTCACGGTCAATACCAATACACAAAGGGTACACATGGCTGTTCTTATATTGTGGTGCTTAGTACGAGGTAGCGTGCGTGCATCGTGGATGAATGTGTGTAAAAGAAGTTAATATTGCTTAAGAATCCAAGAGGGAAAAATTATACTTTAATACATATAGGTTGCTTTAATTTTTGAACATATGCGTCTTTATTTTTTAAAAAAACATGGTTTCATGAGTTAATACAGATCGAATTGTAAGATGGCTTTCCCCTTGTACTACCAACTTTTATTTAACAAAGAATCTATCTCACTAACACTTAATTGGTGTTTGGTTGAAGCTTTTATATCATACTATCATATTTGAATCTGTTTATTATGTGTGTGACCGGATAATAGGGCTGGCACCCGATCCAGATCACAAGTGGGCATCTGATCCGGCACCACATGGAAACTAACGGTCAGAACCCCAACAGGCAAAACTCCAACGGACATAATTCCAACATGTGCCACCTTTTATTGCCATTGAAGTCACCATTGAAGCCATGAGAATGAATTAAAGGCTTAGGCTCCCCATTTATGTCCCATGTTGTTACCGTTAGGACTTTAGTATAAATGGGGATTCTCCTCAGCTAGCAAAGGACACACTGTATTTTCTATACTAAGACGACACTCCGGCAATACAACTATTATCACTCTTTCACATAAACATTATTCTAATATTATTATTACCGGTAACATATTTACCGTCAGTGTGTTTGTTTATTTTTGATACCCTATTATTATATTCAAATCATTTAATAATCATAAGTGTTATGTGTATACAATAGTTATACCACTGACTAGAATTGACGTCGTTTTGGATCAAGCTTAACCTTATAATAAAGTGGACCATGATCCACGATACAAAAGGGAAGTCGAGACAGTGACCCCATTGAAGTGTTCTACAATTTTACATCAAGCCCAAAATCTCACAAAATGTCGGCAGCACTCATTTAATTTTCCGATACAATCCTGGTTCCCTGGTTGGTTACCACCACAAAGGGTGTGCAATTAAATTCATGGGAAATGGAATTTAATATATATTTTGTCAATTTTTCAACAGTTTAAATATATATAGTGAGAATTAAAAACTTCATCATTGCCCTATAAATATGGAGTTGTAATGGGAGAAAACAAAACATACCAGTCTGCAATCTGCAATGGCGGCTTATTATTCTTCCTTCCTTGTAACTGCTTTCATTCTCTTCCCTTTAGCCTTTGCTACCAACTCGCCGCCCCTTCCCCCCTTCAAACGCATCTACCAGTTTGGCAATTCCATCTCCGACACCGGAAACCTACTACGCCTCCCCGGAGCAACTATGCATTACCCCGCCTACCGCCTACCTTACGGCGAAACCTTCTTCCATAAAGCCACAGGTCGCTTCTCTAACGGTCGCCTCATCGTCGACTTCATCGCCACCGCCCTCAAGCTCCCGTTCCTCGACGCTTACCTGGACTCCAATGGCTCATTCGCTCAGGGCGTTAATTTCGCCGTCGCCGGAGCGACGGCGCTCGACGTAGGGTTTTTCTCAGAGAGGAACATTAGCACCTCCAATTCCAAACCGCCGATCAGCACGCAATTGGAGTGGTTCGAAACGCATCTCAAATCTGCATTCCAGACACGCGCTGCACGCTCGAACTGCTTCGAGAATTCGCTTTTCATTTTCGGAGAATTTGGCGGGAACGACTACTTCCCCTTCTTCCGCAAAGGATGGTCCGTTGAAGAGGTTAGGACTCTCGTCCCTCACGTCGTCGCTGCAATTATTCACGGAATTAAACGGATCGTCCAGCTCGGAGCAAAGCGGATCCTCGTTCCCGGCCCGTTCCCGTTCGGATGCTTGCCGTCTCAACTCGCCTCTTCAAACTCCTCCGATCCGTCCGATTACGACGGCCTCGGATGCCTGAAATCGTTCAACGCTTTCAGTTCCTACCACAACCGCTTTCTAAGACGCGCTCTGTCGATACTCAATCGAGAAGTCTCCGGCGACGGCGTTGTGATCGTTTACGCCGACTACGAAGGCGCTTTCCTGGAAATTCTCCGGAAATCATCTTCATACGGATTCGATAAGGAGTGGTTGCACAAAGCCTGCTGCGGAGCGAGCGGGGAGAAGTATCGTTATGACTACTCCAAACCTTGCGGAACCAATGGCACTGACGTATGCCCTCGCCCTGCTCACGCCATGCATTGGGACGGCGTTCATCTTACCGATGCATCTTATCATCGTATTTCTCAGATTATCATTCGTCAGTCCATAACTAAGCTGAAGATCTAGGTGTTAGTAAGATGGATTTAGTTATAAATCTAATCTAAAATATTATACGTGTGAATTCAAATTATGTCTTAACCTTTGTCAGTTTATTGTTTTAATATGTAAATACTAAAATAAATATTGTTTTTGGGTGGTGAATGGGCTACCCCACCGGAGTCCAACTTGTAACTTGTGAGGTAACCCAACCAAGATGATTAAGGATAAAACTTGTAATTACAAAGTTACAAGTTTAAATTTCAGTTCTCTTAGTTTGAGCTGGTCAACAATGGGTAAGATATGTTGGTTTATTTCTTTGTGATAATTTACCGGCTAAAGTCACAAGACACCATCGGATAGTGGTTACATTTCTCTCATCACCCAAAAAAACTTGTAATTTGTGATTATTTGTACTAAAATAAATATTTAAAGATATTATATGTTTGCATTGTATTTAATTTAAAGTTCTTGTATATTACATTTTACTTCGACAAAATTGTTTTTATTATTACAATAACTTCGTTAGTCTCCTAACATAATTTAAGAATTAATACTTAAATGGTCTACCACTATGGTTATAATTCCCAAATTGACCAACTCTCAATTTACTTCAAGTAATTTATTTACTATACAAAATTTACTCAATTTTTGTCTATTTACGAGTATTTATTGACTAAATGCCTTCATGTAAAAAGTTGTATCTGTCTACGTGAAAAAAAAAAAAAAAAAAAAAACAAAACAAAACAAAAGGAAATTTATGTAGGATTCCGACAAAAACAAGAAAATATATATTTTTAAAAAAATATTTATCTCTTCACTCTTCTTCTCCCTCCACCTTCTTTCTTGGTAATCTCCTTAACCAAATCAGACACATAAAATTGCACGGAGGGATAGTATTTTATTTAATTACTTCAGTAAAACCATTTCAAACACAAATAAGATTTATAGTTTTAAGGAATAATATTTAAATTGACCACTAAACGTAACAAAGTGCAATTGGACTATTGAACACCTTAAATATATGCAATTTCACCTTATAGCATGTTAACACCCATTTCTTTCAATTGTCAACTTATATGAATGGGGAATTGACATTTTTTAAATAACTTTGAATAAAAAAAAACTTTTAAAAAAACGTGCAGGGTGGCCACGAGCCTCCCCCTTCCCCCTCCTTCATCTCCAACGGAGGAAGGGGGTGGCCGACGGTCATCCCAGCAGTTTTTTTTTATTATTATTAAAAATTATTAAAAAAATATATCAACTTACCATCCACGTAAACAGATAATCTATCGGAGGAAATGGGTGTTAAGCATCTATCAGGTGAAATTGTGTTGGGACATGGGAGTATTAAACATGTGCTTGAGAGCCAAAGACTTTGTGGTCCAATGGCATCAAGTTGCTTCCTCATATGAGAGGTTGTAGGTTTGAGCCTCATATGAGAAAATAGCTATGAATAGATACTACATTGTAATATATTCAGTGATATTCAAAAAAAAAAAAAAAAAAAAAAAAAAAACATGTGCTTGAGATTACTGGTTTAATTTTCTAATAAAGGATACTATACACATGGCCGTGGTGCTTATACGAGTATAATAATTGTTCAATTAGAGGAGTCATTATATATTATATTGTGAATACAAATACAGAAGGGTACACATGGCCGTTCTTAAATTATGTTGTGGTGCTTAGAACGAGCGAACGAGGGAGCGTGCGTGCATCGCGTACTTCACTGAAAATTAAAAGAGAAGTCAAATAAGTAACCCCATCGAAGGTTCGAGCCTCAGTGGAGGCGTTATTGGTTCTTTGTGTTTCAGTAGGTTGAGAAAGTATATGAACAGATACTACAATGTAATAGAACCAGTAGCTTTCAAAAAAAAAAAAAAAAAGTAACCCCATCGAAGTGTTGTACAATTTTATCACAAGCCCATAATCTCACAAAAAGTCCGCCGCACTAAGTTTTCCGATATAATCCTGGTTGGTTACCACCACAAAGGGTGCAATTAAATTCATGGGAAATGGAATTTAATACGGAGTATATATATTTTGTCAATTTTTCAACAGTTATACCACCTTTTTATTTCTACCTATTTTGTCTCATTCTTGTCAAATCTACACAAAAAAGTCAAACCCCATATATAGTGAGAATTAAAAACTTCTTATCCCAAAAACTTCATCATTGCCTATATATATATATATATATATATGGAGTTGTAATGGGAGAATTAAGTCAGTCTGCAATTAATCTGCAATGGCTTATTATTCTTCCTTCCTTGCAACTGTTTTCATTCTCTTACCTTTAGCCTTTGCTACCAACTCGCCGCCGCTTCCCCCCTTCAAACGCATCTACCAGTTTGGCAATTCCCTCTCCGACACCGGAAACCTACTACGCCTCCCCGGAGGAACTATGTATTACCCCGCCTACCGCCTACCTTACGGGGAAACCTTCTTCCATAAAGCCACAGGTCGCTTCTCTGACGGTCGCCTCATCGTCGACTTCATCGCCGCCGCCCTCAAGCTCCCGTTCCTCGACGCTTACCTGGACGGCAACGCTTCATTCGCTCACGGCGTTAATTTCGCCGTCGCCGGTGCGACGGCGCTCGACGTAGGTTTTTTTGCAGAGAGGAACATTAGCATCTCCAATTTCAAACCGCCGATCAGCACGCAATTGGAGTGGTTCGAGACGCATCTCGAATCCGCTGCGCTCTCGAACTGCTTCGAGAATTCGCTTTTCATTTTCGGAGAATTTGGAGGGAACGACTACATCCCCTTCTTCCGCCAAGGATGGTCAGCTGAAGAGGCTAGGACTCTCGTCCCTCACGTCGTCGCTGCAATTATTCACGGAATTAAACGGATCGTCCAGCTCGGAGCAAAGCGGATCCTCGTTCCCGGCTTCTTCCCGTCCGGATGCGGTCCGTCTCAACTGGCCTCTTCCAACTCCTCCGATCCGTCCGATTACGACGGCCTTGGATGCCTGAAATCGCCTAACGCTTTCAGTTCCTACCACAACCGCTTTCTAAGACGCGCTCTGTCTTCTCTCAATCGGCAACTCTCCGGCGAGGGCGTTGTGATCGTTTACGGCGACTACGAAGGCGCTTTCCTGGAAATTCTCCGGAAATCGTCTTTGTATGGATTCGATAGGGAGTGGTTGCACAAAGCCTGCTGCGGACCGAGCGGGGAGAAGTATCGTTATGACTACCCCAAACCGTGCGGAACCAATGGCACTGACGTATGTCCCCGCCCTGCTCACGCCATGCATTGGGACGGCATTCATCTCACCGATGCATCTTATCATCGTATTTCTCAGATTATTATTCGTAAGTCCATAACTAAGCTGAAGATCTATAAGTGTTAGTGATAAAGACCGTAATAAGTGGATAGTACGTGTATACACGAAAGAAGAAAGAAAATCAAAAGGATGGTAACAATTAATCAATCAAAGGTATAAATTAAGACCTTCTCCTAGACAGTAAGGCATCCACGAAGCTCTGAAATAATAGCTCTGATCCTGGGCAAGATATTTCTTGCAGGATGGAACCTTATTGTCTCTTGTTTTCTTTTTTCTCATTTTGAAATTTGAAATTCTAAATTATCTTTTTCTCTCCTTTCCTTTCTGTGCTGGGCCCTTTTACTCTGGCAGTTAGTAAGATGGATTTAGTAATATTCAATTACATTTCAAAGCAAAGACATCAATTCCTACAAACTGGGGGATGCATGTGAGTTTTTTTTTTTTTTTTTTTTTTTCTTAAATGCATGTGAGTTTAGTTGGGATATATTAGATCGGTGCCTATATATCATTAAATCTATCCTCCTATAAGCTCATCATCAAAGGAAAAGTCTCTCGCCCCTAAGGTCACTATACCACATTGAATCCAAACGAGTTTAGTTTATTGGTCTAGTAGACAATATTTGGGAGAAGAGATCAAGGTTCGAACCTTGACAACAGCAGTGTAGAGATTATGTTTAAAGTGGATGGGCATATCCTTAGTTCGTACCAGTGGCCTTGCATACTGCACTAGTGAGTCGGGCCTTGGGGTTGAAGATTCAAACACAAATAAGATTTACAAGGCGTTTGGTTGAAGGGAATTTGAATTCTCTTAATTCTCTTCCTACTTAATTCTCACCTAATTCCAAAGGCAAAAAAAAAAAAAAAAAAATACTGATGAGTCAAAATTACCCCTTTTCAATGTATACCAAACATTGGAATTGAAATTCCCAGTAATTCTATTCCTGCAAACCAAACACTGAAATTTAAATTCCCACTTTATTCCCAGTAATTCATCTCCCATTGAATTGCAATTCTTTTCCCACGTAATTTCCCCTCTCCAACGAAACGCCTTGTTATAGTTTTAAGGAATAATGTCTAAATTGACCACTGAACGTAAACTTGAAAGTGCAATTAGGCCATTGAACGAAACAAAGTACAATTGGACCACTGAACACCCTGAATATATGCAATTTCAGCTTATAGCAGGTTAGCATCCATATTTTCCAATTGTCAACTTATGTGAATGGGGAATTGACACTTTTAATAACTTAAAAAAAAAAAAAAAAAAAAAAAAAAAAAAAAAGAAGAAGAAGAAAGAAAAATTGCGGGGTGGCCACCGGCCTCCCCCTTCCCCCTTCCCCCTCCTTCGTCGTGGGAGACGAGGAGGGGGAAGGGGGTGGTTGGCGGTCATCCCAACAGTTTTTTTTTTATTATTATTAAAAATCATTTAAAAAATATCAACTCACCATCCACGTAAGCAGGTAATCTATCGGAAGAAATGCGTGTTAAGCATCTTTATATCAAGTGAAATTATATATATTTGGAATGTTTAATATTTTAATTGTTCTTTTTTTTTTTTTCATTTAGTGACTTAATTGCACTTGTAGATTACGTTCCGTGGTCAATAAGGTCATTATATTAATATTTTAAATGGAGTTAATACCCAAAATCGTCCTCGACTATAGTGGTTTTTCTCAATTTCGTCCTAAACGACTTTGGTGACCTAATATCGTCCTAGACTTTTGTGTTTCGCTCAATTTAGTCCCAGACTTTTGTGTTTTTACTCAATTTAGTCCCTCATTTGTTATTCTGTCCATTTGGTGTTAAATAAATAGACAATTCAGTAATTTTAATATTAGCATCTCTTTTCTCATAGACATGTGAACTGCGAAATCCTTTTTTTTTTTACGAATTACTCCCAGAATTACTCCTAAAACTGCGAATATAAAATTTGATTTGCAGGTCCGGGAGTAATTCTGGGTGTAATTCGTACAAGAAAGAGGAATTTCGCATTTCACAAGTTGAAAGTAAAGAGAGATCAATATTGACATTACTGAATTGTCCCTTTATTTAACACCAATTTGACGGAATAACAAATGGAGGACTAAATTGAGCGAAACACAAAAGTCTGGGACGATATTAGGTCACCAAAGTCGTTTAGGACGAAATTGAGAAAAACCACTATTGTCGAGGACGATTTTGGGTATTAACTCATTTTAAATGGAAGAGTTAACAAATTAAAATTGTGTTGGGACTTGGAGTATTAAACATGTGCTTGAGATTACTGGTTTGCTAATAAAGGATACAAGTATAATAATTGTTCAATTAGAGAAGTCAGTGTCAATATATACCAATACAGAAGGGTACACATGGCCGTTCTTAAATTATGTTGTGGTGCTTAGAACGAGGTAGCGTGCGTGCAGCTTAAGAATCCAAAAGGGAAAAAGTTTATACTTAAGTGGTATTTGGTTGACATTTTTATGTCATACTATCATATTTGAATTTGTTTATTATGTGGGGTGTTTGCTTATTTTTGATACCTTAGCTTATTATTATATATTTTTTTTGAAAGTTATTGATTCTATTATAGTAACATATTTTGTCAATTTTTTAACAGTTCATTTTTATATAGTGAGAATTAAAAACTTCATTATTGTCCTATAAATATGGAGTTGTGATGGGAGAAAACGAAACATATCATCGTGCAAGTGAGTCTGCAATGGCTTATTATTCTTCCTTCCTTGCAATTGCTTTCATTCTCTTCCCTTTAGCCTTTGCTACCAACTCGCCGCCCCTTCCCCCCTTCAAACGCTTCTACCAGTTTGGCGATTCCATCTCCGACACCGGAAACCTACTACGCCTCCCCGGAGTAACTATGTATTACCCCGCCTACCGCCTACCTTACGGGGAAACCTTCTTCCATAAAGCCACAGGTCGCTTCTCGGACGGTCGCCTCATCGTTGACTTCATCGCCGCCGCCCTCAAGCTCCCGTTCCTCGACGCTTACCTGGACGCCAACGCTTCATTCGCTCACGGCGTTAATTTCGCCGTCGCCGGTGCGACGGCGCTCGATGTAGGATTTTTCGCAGAGAGGAACATTAGCACCTCCAATTTCAAACCGCCGATCAGCAAGCAATTGGAGTGGTTCGAGACGCATCTCAAATCTTCCTTCGCTGAACGATGCTCGAACTGCTTCGAGAATTCGCTTTTCATTTTCGGAGAATTCGGCGCGAACGACTACTTCCCCTTCTTCCGCCATGGATGGTCCGTTGAAGAGGCCAGGACTCTCGTCCCTCACGTCGTCGCTGCAATTATTCACGGAATTAAACGGATCGTCCAGCTCGGAGCAAAGCGGATCCTGGTTCCCGGCTTCTTCCCGTTCGGATGCAGTCCGTCTCAACTGACCTCTTCCAACTCCTCCGATCCGTCCGATTACGACGGCCTGGGATGCCTGAAATCCTTCAACGCTTTCAGTTCCTACCACAACCGCTTTCTAAGACGCGCTCTGTCTTCTCTCAATCGACAACTCTCCGGCGAGGGCGTTGTGATCGTTTACGGCGACTTCGAAGCCGCTTTCCTTGAAATTCTCCGGAAATCGTCTTTGTACGGTTTCGATAGGGAGTGGTTGCATAAAGCCTGCTGCGGAGCGAGCGGGGAGAAGTATCATTTTAACTACTCGAAACCTTGCGGAACCAATGGCACTGACGTATGCCCCCGCCCTGCTCACGCCATCCATTGGGACGGCGCTCATCTCACCGATGCATCTTATAATCGTATGTCTCAGATTATCATTCGTCAGTCGATAACTAAGCTGTAGATCTAAGTGTTAGTTGGATGGATTTAGTGATTAATCTAAAAATATTATACCTGTGAATTCAAAATATGTTCTTAGTTTTTTGTTTTAATATATATGTGAATACTAAAATAAATATTATTTTTGAGTGGTTAATAGGCTACCCCTTTATGAGTCAAACTTGTAACGTGTGAGGGTATGTAATATATGTCATGATGGTTAAAAATTTGTAATCGCAGGGTCACGAATTCAAATCTTAGCTCTCTTGGTTTGAGCGGATCAATTATGGGCAAGTTAAATTGATTTAATTATCTCATTATGATTCTTTATCAGCTACGATTACAAAACACCCTCGGGTAGTGGCTCTGATTTCACTCGTCACCAAAAAAATTGTAACTTGTGATCATCTATATTAAAATAAATAAATATTGAAAGATATTATATGTGTAACATAGTTGGGTTATGCCCTACTAAAATAAATATTTAAAAATATTATGTGTACATTGTATTTAAAGTTCTTGTATATTACATTTTAGTTGGACAAATTGTTTTTATTATTATAACTTTCTTTACTCTCCTAACATAATTTAAGAATTAATACTTAAATTAATGATCTAACACTATGGTCATAATTCCCAAATAATTGACCAACTATCAATTCACTTCAAATGATTTATTTACTATACAAAATTTACTCAATTTTTGTCTATTTACGATGAGTACCTATTCAATATCAATATATAAAATTATAAATGTCTTCATGGGTAATGGTAGCTTAGCAGTTGTGGTACACCGGGTTATTCCCTCATTTTTGCTCCAAATATATATATATATATATATATATATATATATATATATATATATATATATGTCTTCATGTAAAAAGTTATCTCTTTACATGCAATCGAATCAAACACATAAAATAAAACAAAAGGAGTAATATAATTTTAAAAACTAGTCTAATAGCATGATTTATAAATTATAAAAAAAAAAATTATATATACACACACACATAATTCTGCTAACCGATCAATTAATTCAGTTATTAATCATAACTAAACTGAAATATTTTGATTTAAAAATAATTAATCAATTTTGTTGATTTGATTAGTTAATCAATTTTTCACCGTACCGAATTATGCACACTCGTAAGAATGGGTTGTCCGTTAAGGCACCGCATCCTATTACAAGTCAAGTCAAAATTAGATTTGAATGATTTATTATCAATGGATGGGTTCCAAGTAATGAAGTTAAATTCAAGCTAGGCCGGCTTGAGGGCGCAAATTATGCTGTGCAACCGAATGCACCTTGCAAGGTGCATACGGTTGCAAAACGGCGCCGTTTTAGTTAAAAAAACGCGCGTCCCACTTAAAGGAGAAATCAGGTTCGATTCCCGGCAATAGCATTTTTATATATCCAGAAATTCATAACTATATAACCACAATTTCATAACTATATATCCAGAATTTCATAACTATATATCCACAGTGAATGAATGAATTAAAAATCCACAATGAATGAATGAATGAAGTAAAAATCCACAATGAATGAATGAATGAAGTAAAAATCCACAATGAATGAACTAAATATCCACAATATATGATTGAACTAAATATCCACAATGAATGAACTAAATATCCATAAATTCATAACTATATAACCACAATTTCATAACTATATATCCACAATTTCATAACTATATATCCACAGTGAATGAATGAAATAAAAATCCACAATGAATGAATGAATGAAGTAAAAATCCACAATGAATGAATGAATGAAGTAAAAATCCACAATGAATGAACTAAATATCCACAATATATGATTGAACTAAATATCCACAATGAATGAACTAAATATCCATAAATTCATAACTATATAACCACAATTTCATAACTATATATCCACAATTTCATAACTATATATCCATAATAATGCTATTGCTGAGAGTCGAACCTGATTTTTTTTTTTTTAAAGTGGGACGCGCGTTTTTAATCAAAACGACGTCGTTTTGAACCGTATGCACCATGCGCATGGTACATTCGGTTGCACAGCATAACTATTGGCTTGAGGGTGTATGGCAAATTATGCCCTGGACCCGTGTCCACACTGAATTGTGGACACGGGCCCAAAACGATGTTGTTTTTTTTAAAAAATGCGTCATTTAGTTAAAAAAAAAAAAAAATCGCGCGCGTTTTGCCATTAACGGCGTTATTTTTTTTTTTTTTTGGATTATGAATGTACAGTTATGCCGTTATGAATGTACAGTTATTCCGTTATGAATGTACAGTTATACAATTATGAAATTATGAACACAAAGCTCTAACATTATGAACTTACAATTATGAACATATATAGTGATAAAATTATGACCATGGAGCTTTAAAATTGTGAATATAGAGCTTCAAAGATTATGAATGTACAGTTATGGAGTTATGAATGTACAGTTATAGAGTTATGAATCTACAGTTATAGAGTTATGAATCTACAGTTATGGAGTTATGAATCTACAGTTATGAGATTATGAATCTACATTTATGGAATTATGAATGTACAGTTATTGATCGAATTATGAACAAAGAGCTCTAACATTATGAACTTACAATTATGAACATATAGTGATAAAATTATGAACATAGAGCTCTAAAATTGTGAACATAGAGCTTCGAAAATTATGAATGTACAATTATGGAGTTATGAATGTACAGTTATGGAGTTATGAATATACAGTTATAGAGTTATGAACGTACAGTTATGGAGTTATGAATGTACAGTTATTAACATATAGTAATAAAATTATGAACATATACTCTTATAACGAAGCGGTCTGCAATTAAAAAAAAAAAAAAAAAAAAAAAAAGAAGAAGAAGATAACAATGTCTAGCGGTAATGTTACCCGTGTCCAGGTCCAACGCATAACGATTGAGGGTGTATGTTAACATTCAATTACATTTCAAAGCAAAGACATCAATTCCTTTCTCTTTTTTTTTTTTTTTTCTTAAATGCATGTGAGTTTAGTTGGGATATATTAGGTCGGTGCCTATCTATCATTATCCTCCTATAATTAAGCTCACCATCAAAGGTAATGTTTCTCGCCCCTAAGGTCACTACACCGCATTAAATCAACACGGGCTTAGTTCTAGTAGATAGTATTTAAAAGAAGATGTCAAGATTCGAATATTGACGGCGATAGTGTGGAAATTATGTCTAAAGTGGACAGATCCCTTATTTATACCGGCATTATTTAGTCTTGCCTATTGTGTCAGTGAGTCACCGCGATCTCTGTCGGGCGGGATGTGAGGGCTTTGGAGTTGGGGATTAAACCTTTTTGGCATAAAGTGGACTTAGGAAGCCGGTGTACGCAAGGTTAACATGCTCTGCGACTCGAAGTAGGTGGTGGATTGGATCACGGGGTGAATGAACCCCTTGGAGAGAACGAAGAATTATTGCTTTGTGTAGAAATTGGGTGGGAAGGGATTGGAGTTTCAAGATCAACTTCTCTCCTAAGGAGTACAACAATGCGGCAGATCATCTTGCCAAGATAGCTCTTCGTAAATACTGCGACTAGATTGACTTCATGGTGCTCCCCAAAAAAATAAATAAATAAATAAAAATAGGGATGATTTTTACTCTGTTTTGTAATTTGCTAACAAGGGAAGTTTTTTTTTTTTTTTTTGAAAATGCTAACAAGGGAAGTTATTGATGCCTATATCGATCAAATCGAATAATTGTATTCCTCGTTAATTATTGTAATTAATTTAAGAATACATATTTTGTACGCAATCAATATATACCTTTTTATGAGAGTTATAAGGAGTGAATTACTCATATTTGCATAAAATAATATGATTTTTGTGATAAATATGATAACAATTTCATTTGAACCGATCCACGAGGAGAGGGATAGAAATTTTTGCAATCCTCTTCCCTGACATTTCAAAAAATTACTTTTTATGAGTTTCACCAAATCGTTTAAAGAAATAATTAATCATTTTATTTTATATTTAATTTTAAGTTTTGCCAAATTTTTAATTCACGAAATATACTGCAATAAATACGCATGTCATATGACATATACAATGATGTATCCGGTCAAATTTTATGCATTTATTATTATATATTAACCTTTTCTATGCAAAAATAAATATCTCATATTAGTATTTAATGATAAAATTATAGTTATATTGGAATATTCTTTTTAAAATATAGTATACAATTTACTTTTAAAAATTATAAAATTCAAATTTTCGTATTATGTTAATTATGTTAAAAGGTATAATTGATAATTTGGGTAATAATTATGGTATGATTAATAATTGTAAAGTAATAAAAGTGTTAGATATGACAATTGTTGGTTTTACAGCCACAGAGTAGTCCGGATGACAAACCAACACAATCGTAAAATAGAAGGGAAAATTTAAGAGGGAAAGTTGACAGAGTATTGCACTAGAATTGAGTTCAATGTGCCCCAGAAAATATTTGTAAAGGATTTATGTGCTTGGAAAAGGTAAGAAAGAAGAAATTAACAAATTTGAACTTAAGAAAGCTTTCAAACTGCTATGCATCTTTCCTAATGTTGAAAAAGGAAATTCCACACCAAATCTGGAAGAAATCTCCGTGGCCCCTTTAATCGCCTCAGAGTACATCACTCGGTTGGAAACCCCAACTGGCTGCCTACACTGGTCAGCCCATCGGGTCTGGCTACCGGGCATACGCCTTGACTGGGCTAGACTGTTGGGTTCCTCCCGTCCTCCAAGAATATATAGTCAAACTGTGAACCTTGACTGTCAAGGTACAATCCTAATTGGATACCCTACTTGGGGGTATCCACCAGTAATGATTAAATATAAGTATAGTATGTAACATTTAATATATATACTAATAAAAGTTTAACGGTATAATAGTAATTTTGTTTGATAAAAATAATAGTATAATATGTGTAGAAAAATTTACAATCTAATCTAAAAACATAATAAGTTCCAATCCAGTTTATGTCCGTTTTTTCTGTTAACTTTTTTTGTATCTTATGCTATATATGTTGTACTACATAATTTTTTGGACAAAAATATCCTGCCGTTATAACTTCTGTTATCTTTCACATTATTATTACCATATACATGTATACACAATATTTTTTTCTTACCTTCTCCAATTGATAAGTTTGATTTTATTTAGATTTGAATTAAATGTTACCATAATTATATTTAGTAATATATCATTTCTATGATTCTTACTTCATTAATATTAATATAAATTTTACAATTATACACACACACACTTATTTAAAAAATATTTTAATATATCTAAGATTTTAACATTAAGTATTAATATTGGTTAAATATTTTTGCGCATCGCGCATAGAAAATACTAGTAAGTATATATAAACATAAATCAATAGATTAGATTACATTCAAAAATAAAAAATAAAAAAAAAATACATTTTAACTTAATTTAGATATATAAAATTCAAATGGGTGTAATATTTAAGCGAATTAATAGTTTAATACTAATTTTAGCCATTCGACAATAATGATACTTCCGTATTTATTGTCAATTAATTTAATTTAATGAAATTCAATTCATTAACATTTTAAATCAACTCAATTTAGTCTATACAATAATAAAAAATGTCGTCATTTTATAAATATTTATCCCAAATTCATCCTATGGTAAGAAACTTCATGGTTGTCCTATAAATACGGAGTGTAATTGGAGACACAAAACATATATATTGCAGAACGTACCTGTGTAAGTGCAGGCGTGGAGGGGTCTCTTCAAGCAATCTGCAATGGCTCCCTCCTTCCTTCTAACTGTTTTCATTCTCTTTCCTTTAGCCATTGCCGACAAATCCCCGCCCCTTCCCTCCTTCAAAAGGATCTACCAGTTTGGCGATTCCCTTTCCGACACCGGAAACTTACTCCGCCTTCCCGGGGGACGTATGTTTTACCCCGCCGATCGCCTTCCTTACGGGGAAACCTACTTCGGTAAAGGCACAGGCCGGTTCTCCGACGGTCGCCTGATCGTCGATTTCATCGCTGCCGCTCTCGATCTCCCGTTCGTTGACGCTTACCTGAACGCCAACGGTTCGTTCGCTCACGGCGTTAATTTTGCCGTCGCCGGAGCAACGGCGGTCGACGAGGATTTTTTTACAGAGAGGAACATTAGCACCTCCAATTTCAAACCACCGATCAGCAAACAATTGGAGTGGTTCGAGACGCACATCAACTCCTCCTCTACTTCGAAGAGCTTCGAGGATTCGCTTTTCATATTCGGGGAATTTGGCGGGAACGACTACTTCCCCTTCTTTCGCCAGGGATGGAGCCTTGAGCAGGTTAGGGCTAACGTACCTTACGTCGTCGCCGCGATAATTCACGGAATTAAACGGATCGTCCAGCTCGGAGCAAAGCGGATCCTGGTTCCCGGCCCGTTCCCGTTCGGATGCCTGCCGTCTCAACTCGCAGCTTCCAACAACGCCTCCGACGCGTCCGCTTACAACGCCTTAGGATGCGTGAAAGCGTTCAACGACTTCAGTTCCTACCACAACGGCTTTCTAAGACGCGCTCTGTCTTCTCTCAATCGAGAAGTCTCCGGCGACGGCGTTGTGATCGTTTACGGCGACTACGAAGGCGCTTTCCTGGAAATTCTGGAGAAACCCTCTTCATATGGATTCGATAAGGAGTGGTTGCACAAAGCCTGCTGCGGGGCGGGCGGGAATTATCATTTCGACCAGACGAAACCTTGCGGGACCAATGGCACTGACGTATGCCCCAGCCCAGCCCACGCCATGCATTGGGACGGCGTTCATCTCACCGATGCATCTTATCATCGTATTTCTCAGATCGTCATTGATCAATCGATCAGTCAGCTAATCTAAGCGTTGGAGAGATGAATATAGTGATTCATTTTTTAAATAAATTAAAATGATTGTAATTTGAAAATCACTTTTGGAAGTTGCGATCAAAGTTTCATTCAGAACCGTCCACATAATTAATAAAAGTCATTCAGTTTACACCATTGTTTTTACACTAGCTAAAGCGACGTTTACTTGTCGACTGAAGGTGTTGTCTAAGCTGTCAACCGTTAGGCTTAACGACCAGTGGGGCCAAAAATAATATTTTTTTTGATACATTAAATTTTTCAGTTTAAGCTAGACTAATTTTAAAGAAACAGAAATAATTTTACTATTTTCTTCACTTTCTAGTGGTTGGAGTTTAAAATCTATTAGGCTTTGATTATGAAAAATGTTTCACAATTGATCTTTACAATTAAGTTATTTTCAATACGTACTCAAAAATTGCCAAGTAGCTTATGATTTGATTGCTGAAAATGATAGTACATGTTTATTTCACTTTTAACTGTATCATATTTGGATATTAGTGAGTGACAGCCCAAAAAGGTGGCAATTTAGGGCAATTTATATCGTGCACGTTATGTGTGCCTAGGTACAAAATGCGCGCGTTTCAATTGCTGACGTCACTTCGTCTGTCCAAAGGTCAAAACCTCATTATGTATATTTAGTTAAAAGTTTCTGTGTATTTAGTTAAGAGTTTATGCGCATTTAGTTAAGAGTTCCTGTGCATTTAGTTAAGAGTTCCTGTGTATTCAGTTATGAGTTTCTGTGTATTATATATCATGTTAGATTATGTGTATTCATTTATGAGTTTTTGTATACTTTGTTATGAGTTTATGTGTATTCAAAACAAAGAATTTTTTTTTTAACAATGTACCAAAACGACGTCGTTTTAGGAGGCGTGAGGCGTACATTGCTATGTGCGCCTGGTGCACGGTATAACAATTTGGCAATTTAGTGTGAAATTATGAAAGTAAATCAAAGTTTAGTACATATGGGCCATATATTTATATATGAAAAAACCTTAATCCCCACCAATAGACTTCAAGTGAACAGCCATGGAAACAATGGAGTAGTGAAATTACAACTACAACCCTCTGGCCACCAGGCCCACCACCACAAACGATACGCGGAATACTGGAATTCAACTTTGTCTTTATAGACTGGAAACTGGGGATGTTGTCCTATAAATAGGGAGCTAATTGCAGGAAAAAATATACCTTTTTTTTCTGTGCAGGCGTGGGAGAGATTCTGCAACCTGTAATGGCTTCTTCCTTCTTTCTCACTGCTTTCTTTCTCTTCCCTTTAGCCTTTGCTGCCAACTCCCCGCCCCTTCCTTCCTTCAAACGCATCTACCAATTCGGCGATTCCCTCTCCGACACCGGAAACTTGCTCCGCCTCCCCGGGGGGCGTATGTTTTACCCCGCTAATAATCTCCCTTACGGTGAAACCTATTTTGGTAAAGCCACGGGCCGGTACTCCGACGGGCGATTGATCGTGGACTTCATCGCCGCCGCTCTCAAGCTCCCGTTCCTTGACGCTTACCTGAACGCCAACGGTTCGTTCGCTCACGGCGTTAATTTCGCCGTCGCCGGAGCAACGGCGCTCGACGGAGACTTTTTCGCGAAGAGGAACATTAGCATTTCGAATTCCAAACCCCCGATCAGCAAACAATTGGAGTGGTTCGAGACGCACCTCAACTCTGCTTCCCCAACACGCGCCTCGCGATCGAAAGGCCTCGAGGATTCGCTTTTCATTTTCGGAGAATTTGGCGGGAACGACTACTTCCCCTTCTTACGCCAAGGAAGGTCCATTGAAGAGGTTAGGGTTCTCGTCCCTCACGTCGTTGCCGCAATAATTGACGGAATTAAACGGATCGTCCATCTCGGAGCAAAGCGGATCCTGGTTCCGGGGCCCTTCCCGTTCGGATGCATGCCGTCTCAACTGGCCGCTTCCAACGCCTCCGACCCGGCCGCTTACGACAGCTTAGGATGCCTGAAAGCCTTCAACGCCTTCAGTTCCTACCACAACCGCTACTTAAGACGCGCTCTGTCTTCTCTCAATCGACAACTCTCCGGCCAGGGCGTTGTGATCGTTTACGGCGACTACGAAGGCGCTTTCCTGAAAATTCTCCAGAAGTCATCGGCGTACAGATTCGACAAAGGATGGCTGCTCAAAGCCTGCTGCGGAGGCGGCGGGAAGTATAACTTTGACTACTCAAAACCTTGCGGAACCAATGGCACAGAGACGTGCTCCCGCCCTGGCAGCGCCGTGCATTGGGACGGCGTTCATCTCACCGATGCATCTTATCATCGTATTGCTCAGATTCTCATTCAACAGGCGTTTACCAAGCTCATCTAATCTGATCTTATCTTAGTGGATGGAGAAAGTTGACAGTAGAAGTGGAGGGTTCTGTGCAGTAGAAACCACACGAATTGAATTATATTGTATGGGTAATGTTAATGGAGCTAGTCAAAATGATTTCCATTTTCACTAGATTTTTTATTCTCATATGTTTGGTGGTGAACATTATATTTGTTAAGTTGCTGTCCAGGTTTCACTATTGTGCACATAATAATAATTTACACTAGTTAAAGAAACGTGTACTTGACCACTGAAAAAGTTAGGTCTTCGGCCTCAATTACCGGAGGTTTACGGAATTTCAGTCTTAATTTTTCTACTTCTTGATATAAGTCTTTTTTTTTTTTTTTTTTGTCAGGCCACGAGGTATTTTGAGCTTGCTTTAACTGCCACATATTCAAAGTAAGAGATCTTTCGACCTCATTTGCACCGATAGAAGTGCTGGTAAGAATGATTTTTTCATACGATATGGGGTTTGAATTTTAGTCCTCTCTTAATAGATAAGAGTGCAATGTCACTCACGCCAATCAAGATGGTTATTTTTGGATATAAGTTTAAAGTCAATTAAATTTGATTATGACTATTTGAAAATAATGTCATTTTTAACCATCAAATTATTAATCCTCTCTAAGAATTAGATCTCAAAAATGTAAACCAAATATTTTGATATGTGATATATCAATAAAATCATCAAAAATAATTAATTTTTAACCATCAAATTATTAATCGTCTCTAAGAATTAGATCTTAAAAATTAAAACCAAATATTTTAACTAAAATATATTTTGATATGAGATATAAATAGTTAACAATATAATCATCAAATCAAGTGCTTGTAGTTCACTGGTATCGAGTTGCTCCTCTAGGTGAGAGGTGATGAGTTCAAACCTTGGTTGAGGCAAGTAGTGTATATATGTAGGGTATCTCCCTTCTTTATAAAAAAAAAAAAAAAAAAAAAAAAAAAAAAAAACAATATAATCATCAAATTTTCATTAGTTCAATTGATTTCCCATATCATGCCAGTTTTCATATCCCGTGAACTTCGATTTACAATGATTGAATATGATTGAAGTAACTGCTCTCACATGCCCGTATAAAAATTGTTGATTCCTTATAAGTTAGGGTTCTGTGCAATAGATTTAAAACGATGGAGAGCCCAAAGAGGAAAAGCACGCAAATTATGCTGTGGAAACGTGTTCACCATGCGTATGGTGAACACAATGATAGATTCATAATTTCTATGTTGTAAATTCATAATTTTGTTTTTCATTTGTTGTTAACGATGTTTCTCTTCACAATCGCATTATTTTGTCTTTGCAATACAGATATTATGAATCTACAGTATAAAAATTATGAATCTACAACTTAAAAATTATGAATACATTCTGTATTCACCATGGGCATGGTGAACATGTTTCCATAGCATAACTATTGGGAAAAGCATCACGGAACATAGTGTGAACTGATGAACCCCAAGTCAATTTAGTCCAACTACCCTTAGATTTTACTTTAGCCTATAAATGGCGGAAAAAATGACACCGTTGGGCCACAACCCGGCAATAAACATATATATCAAATGTACACATCGCAACGTAAACCATGATCTACAGTTAATGATTTGAACGCTTTCCACACAAAATTTGGTCCAAGCCTACCTTCTTTTTTTGAAAACCTACCTAATATGCATGTGCCAGAAACAGAACAAAGATTGGTCCAGCACATAAAGGCGACTTCGTTGAAATTTTACGATATTTACAACCTTTTTTTATTTTTATTTTTTGCGGAGATGGGGCCAGGTGAGGGGGAAGATGGCAGATATTGTAATGGGGGCAAGCCCATGCGGCCATGCCCCGACAAACTATTGATTGATTCCTTTAAATATTGTAATCAAAACTACAAAAGCCTCGCCTCCCTATATATGTACTACACAAAGAATAATGTATCCAGGTTGCTCAAAAAATGTGCTCCTTACTAGTTGAAGAACAAACGTTTTTTCCTTGTCTTACTTTTCTTCTCGCCAGCCTGAAAATGTCACATTAGCATTAATAGTTGGGGAGGAGAGAATTACAAAGCAAGAAAGGAAAATACTACATGGACTCCCATTTTATACTCCCAACTTTTACTCTCTCACACAAGTTTTTGATGTAAACACTTTTCTGTGGACCCACATGATAAAAATAATCTATCATTGTTTGCCACATCAAAAAGTAGAATTTGGGAGTATGCATAGTAGAACTCAACCAGAAAAGGAAGAAGTTCCTTTAATGAAACAAAAAGTAGTTGGGGAGAAAAGGTATTATTATGATAAGTATGCACATTTCACCTTTGGAGAACTATAATTCAAAATTTTGATTAAAGAAAGATATATTATTTGAACCTTTGGGAATACAATATTTAAAAATAAAAATAATAAAGTAATACCTTTAAGATGAAATATTTCATGATGAGAACAATAGCATCCCTACTGGAACTGCAAAATGATAGATATGAACATGTTGTTTAGCAAATATGGGAAGAAAATAGTCCTAGAAAAAGGAAAATTAACAGATGAAGCTGCAAGTATGATCAATGAAATTTCAGGTAAAAAGAAACTCTACTCAAGTAAATGCTGCCCTGCTTATTCTTGTTTAAGGATTAAGTTCATCCATTTCAATCCACTGGAACAATTCATTTCAGGTAAATGCTGAAGGCAATTTCTTCTCCCAAGGTTAAATCCCCAACCCCAAGGGCCCCCCACACCCCGGCCCGACAGAGCATTTGGGAGGATATAAATCACGGTGACTCAATGGCTCAGCAGACAGGGCCAAATGCCAGTGCGCACAAAGGATCTGCCCATTTTGGGCATAATCCCCACACTGCCGTTGCCGAGGTTCAAACATTGGTCTCTTCTCCCAAATGCTGCCAAAGGCAATTTCTAATGTACAGAAAGAAACTATACACAAAGTCCAACACAGCGAGGAAAAAATGACTTACTAGCCAGTAGCATCAATTGCCTTCAATAGACGTACTTCCTCCCGGCTATCAATTATTGAGAACTCTCCAGGACATCCATATGGAATAGAAACCTGGCAGGGAATTAAATTCAAATATGAAAAATGAGGCTCCAGATCAAATTAAACAATATGCTTGTTTTTTCATTAGTAATGAATATTATCCACAAAGGCACTAAGTTCTTGAAAAAGGTGAACAAAAGACTTGCAAGGAGATCAAGTTAGAATCAATATTGAGTAAAAGCCATATCTACTACAAGAATATACAAAAGCTCCGTGAAGACAAGATTTTATCACTTAAATAATATAAATTCATAATACATGGAGATGCAGAGACAAATTAAACAGCCAACCACAGACTACTAAGAATCCCAAATTGAGTTTGGTAGATCTAGGTATCAAGGACCTGAAGGTCGTGATCAAAGATATCAATTGCTAAGCTTGGGGAAAAACTACTATTACCAAAACAATTTCCTTCATTTATTTTAACCACCTAGCCCAAAGAAATACTTTATGTGCGTCCAATTTCAGCCACATTATGAGGCTGATACATGGATCATAAATTCATTATCAGAATGCCAATAGATACAATGAGACCAAAGTAATTTACTATGGTTTAAACAACCAAGAACCTTCAGATCATGTGGGATGAAGAAGGTGATATTAGATAGCAATAACACAATGGTGTAATGAATAAAAGAAGAATATTTTCCAACATTCAAACAGAAAGAGTTCCACTTATGGTCCATGTGTTTCCCCCGTCTCAATGCTAAAATATCAAAAGCATTGCACCCACAAGGCCTTCTAGACTTGTATCAGACAAGAAAAACACTTGACGGGTAAGAACACGTACACTTATAGATGGAGAAAATTTCTCAGTAACCACAACACCAATGGTCCCACTACACTTGATACTAAAGCCATCCCTCTTTATAGCCAAGGTAGCTGACTCCCATGTGTCAAGATAGCCAATCTGGAGAGTCAAAGAAAAGTAAGAAAAGAAGTACATCAATAAGCAAAGTTTTTCAATTAGTGGATACAAAATGACTTTCCAATAAAAATGTGGTAGTCAATTAAGAAGAAACAGAAACCCATTAAATATTCCTACCCACAAAGATACTTCAAATGAAGCATGACCACTGTGAAGTGTTCTCTCTATGCAATTTTGCATATCAGGATCTGCCAACAAATAAACAATCTTTAATCAACATGCAAAACAATATACACAAAGCATTTTCTAGTTTAGAATCTTACATCAGATAAACAATGTTTAATCCATATGAAACAAAATACACGGTGTTAAAAATTTTAATAAATTAAAAAAAAAACAAAAAAAAAACAAAAAAACAAAAAACAAAAAAAACAAAAACATGTTTATAAAAGAAGAAAGGACTAGAGACAGAACTTGTTTCTCAAAATAAAATTTTGAAGCCAAATTCTATGGCCCCTGAAACTAGATTAAAAAGGGTTATCTAGCTCCTATATCTCCTCATAGTACTGGTTAACCAATAAATCAATAATGCCAATGAGCCTCTGTTTATACATTTATACTTCGACTTTCCTCTCAAAAGCTTTTAAAAATTAGGTGACCTATATGATTGCTTATTAAAATAGTATTATTTCCATTTTTATAAGATAAGCAATAGTGTATTGATCTTTTATAGGAAAGTGTAAATAATTTCCAAATATATCATTCTAGATGCTTGCACTTAATAATGCAAACATTCAAACCGCAGTTAGACCTTGTACATGGATAAATGTGAAAATTACCACAAGTAATTTTCCTGTGCTCATTTGCAAATACCTTTACCGCTTCACCCTGGAAATGAATAGAGATGAAGCCATCTTAATAAACCTCAAGCAATGTAAAGATGTTTCAGATGCAAACAATTATCTCACAAAATTTAAGATAGATAATTTTCATTCGATAGTACTGCATAGTAAGAAACATTTTCATTATTAGCTCAAGACTTCAGTTTTCATGATTTCACTATAAAACTAGGAAGTACGAAAACATTTCCCATTTATATCAAAACCCATCACTTGGACAGTAAATATATATAGAACACAATTAATAATTCAGGAACTGAGGAACCACACATGTACCTGCATTCTTTATTCTTTCCAAAATTCTTTTTAACACCAGGGAGAAGTTGGATTTGGTGTGAAATGAAGAAGTTAGTTTCATTGATGAATTTCTGCAATGATTTAATTTTTTTACAGCTACTTCCATTTTCTCCATTAAACATTTTAATTGACTCTATTTATGTCAAGCAAATGGCTGAAATAGACAAGCAGTATATAGGATTCAGGACAATTACCTTCCGTTTCCTATTATCTAGTGGCTGTACTTCAATGGCAAGGTATGTATCAACATCATCAGCAGTAACAAGATATACAGGTTGCTTTGCATCTGCCATCAACAATATCATATCTTCAGGCATACAAATGGAAAGAAAAGGATATGGTCAATTGAAAAGAACAAGAAATATAAGCAAAATACCATCTATGTAGCTAAAAGATCCATCTTCCTTATGCCGGACCCACTGTAAATTCAAACATGAGGCAAGAAAAACAAGAATAGATTCCAATAAATTTCTATAATTATATTGGTTGAGACTTGAGAGTTTCCAGGGTAATGAGAATAGTATGAGCTGTATCAATCATCAAGAACAGTAATCAAGATAGCATGATAAGAGCCTAGAAGAAGCACCTCAAAAATGCAACTGGTTGTTCCATTAATAGAGTAGCCAGAAGCTTGAAGTTCTCCTCCTGGATAAGCTTCACCTCTAATTTGGAGACCCTCTATTGCTGGTAAAGGATCATCATCTGCAGCTGATTAAGGCCTTCACTTTAGATCACATCTAATTGCAAGATCCTCAACAACATAAGTAATAAGGAGTTAAAATTTAAAAAAGAAACTCTCACCTTCTGAGAAAGAGGATGTAGGTTCCTCCAAAACAGGTGGTAAATATGGGGAGTAGGTTGAGATTGGATCCTCTAGTGCAGTTGCATAAGGAGAGCTTTTTGAAGCCCAACTGACTGAGGGTTCTCTATCATTTTGATTTATCTCCATGTCAGGATCATCTATCCCATTAGTGTTGCTAAGTTCACTAAATGTCACTTGTTTATTTGGTATTTCTTCACTTTTTGACTTAGAAACAGATTGGTCCTGGCTGACATCAAGCTGAGTAGATGCATCAGGGGGCACAGCATTCCTGCAGAACAAGGTTAATCCTGTGTAAATTAATAAAGCATTGAGAATTTCAACAAAAGAGTGGAGGTGTATGAATCATGTATCCAAGATTAAGGCACAAGGAGATCAAGAAACACAAAAGAGAAAAGACAACTAAAATAATCCTCCCTCTGATACCCTATCCTACACCACTTAAATGCAACTAAATAATATGCAACAAAAACTTTGAAAGGAAAGCTAAGCTCATTAAAGATCATTCATCACATGTTTCCTGTAAAGAAGATTAATTTCATCATATTTCAAAGATTGTGATGAGAAGGGATCATTTTTTTAATTCAAAGGCAACATGAAATGCATTATTGATTCCATTCAAGTATGAATAAGCTACAAGGAGTGTACAATTTAAAACAGAACCCACCACCAAAAGCAGGTTGGGATTACAATCAGTTCACAGTAGCACTCTTCATTTCACCAGGCTCACCTGCTCGCAGAAGGCGAAAAACTGCCCAAATTATTTCCCTCCATGCCGTTTGTAGCACCACCAATAATATCATAGGGAGGATTCCCTGATGGATCCCAAGCTCTTCCTGTCTGAGGGTCTGAAGAACTAGATGCCTTTTCATTAGAATGTCTTTGTTGTGGTACCAGTTCAAGCCCATCTTTAATCTGGTAAATTTTTATTTTTTTATTATGACATTCTAATCAATATTTATATTTGGTCAAACAGTATTTTATCAGTATTACCGCGGCAGAGTCGGAAGGTGAAAAAGCAAAATTGGAGTTGACGTCAGAAGACCAAGGAGTCATTTGGAACTGAGACTCCTTTAGCTTCGCCTATGATTCCAAGAGTAAAACATTAAACATATTCAAGAAGACTCAGCACACTGAAAATATGAAACACCTCCCCAGAGTCAACAACACACCTCTGTAATAAAAAGCTTCTCCTGCAAATGTCTGAACAGAATCTGCAAGAACATTGTTTTGTAAATAGCAGGTAAAAAGACACAGGAATTTTGTGGAAAATCAAAAGCTGCAGATGTCCTCCACAAGAATTAATCAACAAAAACATCATGTCATGTGCAGTTCTAAAAAGTGAGCATCTTAACGATAATATAAAGTTAATATTATCTTGTGATTAAAATATGATGCCCTATATAACATGGGCATTAGTTAAGATAACTGAGTTCTGTCTTCCTTAGCTTCAACCTATAGAGCTTTCACAGTAGACCTCTTTAACATATTAAAACCATTCTAGTCTAAGCCTTACAAGGTCAAGTAAACCTCTCTCTCCTATTTCTCTAGCAAACTTGCTTCCTACCTTAACTTTGTTTGAGACATCCTTTATAACATCACTTTTGCTAAGTGTGTGTGTGTGTTTGTGTATAAAAGTCATTTTTAAGTTCCAATGGGTGAAGACCATTTAATTTACCCAGTACAAATTAATTTTTTGCACAACTTTTAACCAATCTGTAGTTTTAATTTGGTGCTTCAACCACCATTTGGTAACTGGTTGTATACGGAATTGAAACAAAAATGAATTACTGTCCAACAATGATTGTTGATATTAAGTGAAGCACCCAAACACATTCACTCATGCATATCTAAACGAAAGATGAAACATATATCAAATTGTTGGCACATTTTGACTATAGGCTTCAAAACATCATCTTATTTGCCCTAATTAAAGGAAAGAAGTATATAACCCAGGCAAGTTGCAGTACTTTTCTTTGATAAACAATGGATCCAACAAGAAGCAATGCTTAGGAGAAATTCTTAGAACGTAACATTTATCCAACAAAATCCCTCGTACAAAAATTAAGAAATGTATAAACAGAAACCAGATTTTTTAACCTGAAGCATATCACTATTATACTAACCTTGATGTTTCCAACAATTGACTGAGCATCAGGTAGAGGAGGCTTGAGTGAATACTCTGCAAGTAGTGGTAATAAAGATGATATGAACGTTGTTCTTTCTTGTTGTGCAGCCTGAGATTGATAACATCAACCTCAAAATACATTAGTTGATAATAGAAAATCATCTGTGCTAATATCTTTGAAAAAATCAGCCAATGACAAGATAGTTACTGGGATAGATCATTTCTAGTAATTAAGAAAGCCATAACCCCTAATAAAAGCCATTAACAATAAATCATGAATGATGCACAACTTTCAAGTGTATCTCTCCCCATCTCTCTTCTGGAAAGAGAGATAAAGCTCAGTGCAGATACTAACTGGAAAATTTGCAATCTTTGTAACTAGCTTAACATAAACTTGGATTATAATTAAAGCAACCAATTAACTAGTAGTTTTTTGCAGGTATATCTTTTTTGCAGGTATATCTAGTTAAGTGCTTATTTCAAGAATAACGCTGTAGTATTGCCCTAAGAAGAATAGAAGATTGTGCAAACTGTGCAAAAGACCTGTTACAGTTTTGAATAGCTGCAATTTTAGTTTTGGCTTTTGCTCATCTTGGAAATCTAATTTAATTTTGATAGTTCATTCACCATCTTGGTGCCCCTTTATCTTTGAAAAAATAATAATAATAATAATAATAGTTTCCAGTCAAAATAGCTCAAGTTCAAATTCAAATTAGAAAACATATAATCCCTCCACCCACTACTCCCATTTTTATTGGCCACCTTTTCTTTTTGCAGTTACCCAAAACATTAGCCACACTCAAATTAGGAAGGACCTTTAGTTCAAAGTTTCTTATAAAGGTCTTAACATTAAACAATATTTCATGCATATTAATGCAAATTAGGGATCAATGGATCATTTTATCAAAAGTAACAAGAATAAATGCATGTAATGAAGTTTCCCCTGATTTGTGTGTCTGAGTAAGGGGCACAATAAAAGAGAGCATACTCCACCTGCAATGCATATGCAAGGCGTATATTTTCTTCAATTATATCCTGTCTATATGATATTGCTTTGGACGCAGCATCAACCAGATCCTGTTGCTGTTGGTCAAAGGCCTATACCATGAATTGATTGAAAACAACTTTTAGCAATTTTGAGAGCAAAGAATGGTGAAATGTGTTAAGAAGGAAACCATAGAGGCTCTTCATACCATACGCATATAAGCAATACGCTTTTCCAGAACATATTTCTCATTGCTTATTTGTGCTTCCTGCAACAACAAACACTTAATTTGATCACAATGAAATAGTTAAAATAATCATGGTGTTCAATAAAAGAAAGGCACCATACTTTGACTGCGTATTCCCCAAGAAGTTTCCTAAGTTGTGAAATTTCTTGTTCTTGATCCCGGATCTGCAGAACAATATCCTATCAAAACCATCAGAAAATGACGCAGACAACAGGTATACAAAAAACTGGCACATATGATTAGAATAACAACTTTTAAACACTGTTGTAAAAATCGGCCTAGGCAGCCGCCTAGGCGCCTTTTAGTCAGCCGGCCGACTAGGCACCCTCGGCACCCAACTCAGCCGAGTTTTTTTTTTTGCAAAGTTGGGATTTTTTTTTTTGATAGCCTAAGTAAATGAAAGGCAAAAACAATTTTTTTTATGTGACTAGGCTCTACTTTTTATGCTTTAGTATTTATGCCTGAAGTAAATGAAAAGTTTCTATGCTTTGGTATTGAAACTTTGAAGTAAATGAAAAGTCTTTTATGCTTTGGTATTGAAGCCTAAAGTAAATAAAAGGTCTTTTATGCTTTATATTAAAGTCTAAAATAAATAAAAGGCAATTTTTTTATATACCTAGGCGCCCATCCACCACCCGATGAGCGCCTAGCACCTTTTACAACCCTGCTTTTTAAAACTAACAAGTTCATTAAAAGCACCAAGGGGTGCATAAACTTGCATTTCCAAGAAGAATAACTTATTTCTATCATAGATAAGGTATACCTGCTTCATGCTGTTAGCATTACTTAGTTCAGCTATTGGCATCAACCCCTGTCCGGATACATTGAGCCGTCTATCTCGTTCCCCTTCTGTTTGGTACCTACCTAAGCCAGCTTAATTGTCACTTTCTATGTTTGTATCAATAACTGAAATTATTCACTAGAACATCCACGGCAACATTTTTTTCAATTTTAGACCTTCATATATCCATTTAATCCAAAGTTTTCTATGGGAAATAATATCTCCTCATATACCTGCTAGGAGAAAATGACGATGAAGAAGGCAATGAAAACTGAGAGAACCCTGAAGGATCCGATGATGCCTGACCACCACAAAGCACTCTAAGTGTGCCATTGACATTGTCAGACTCTCTACGGCTTTCTCTGTGTGTTTGTATAGTAGAGTCTATATCATTTTGAACAACATTATTAGACAGTGTATGTCTTAGAGTATTATCAATGTTTCTAGCCCCATCATTTTGATTTCTGAAATGTGAATTTGACATAAATGATCTATCTGGCGAGTGATGGTGGACATCCCATGGTTCAACTGAATGGGAATTCTCACTTTTCAGCTCATCTGATTTCTGTAGAAGAAGGTGAAGATACCAAATAGTGTACATTAAAAAAATAATATAATTCAGATAAGGAAAAGAGAAGCAACGGTCCACCCAAAAAAAAAAAAAAAAAATGCCCCACACACAAACAAAACAAAACAGAATTTATATATATATATATATATATATATATATATATATAGCAATCATTGAAAGAAACGGCTAATACAGCTTGGCCATCATTGAATCTTAGTAACAGAATACCAACATCATAAAACTCAAATATAAATTGAATGAAATGAGACATCTGTTTTTTGTCAATGTAAGAAATATATATGAGTGTAAACAGCACCAACACACCCCATACATAGAGAAAAATAAAAGACCCAAAGGAACTGCAATGACCCTAAAAATAAAAAATAAAACTAAGCCAGGAGATCCCTGAGACCCTGACACATGATCTTTTGTTCTATAGTCCATCTCTATTCACAAATAACTTTATCTGGTAATTGTTAAAGAGTTATCACTCTTATTCTTGGCCATACATCGGGAATACTCAATGTGTCCTAATAGTGATGGAGTTGTTTCCCCATTTTGGGAATTTAGGCTCAGTTACGAGGTTCTACAAATTAACCTTAAATCTATCATTAGGCCCACTACTTCTATTGCATATTGTATTGTTTGTTTGAACTTAAAGTCTAGCTTTGAGATTTTGGCTGCTGATTAGCAGGTGATTATGGTCAATAACTTACCAGAGGAGGTGCTGGTTTCTTGGCTTAAGGGAGAGTTTATTCTTGCATAAATGATAGCTCAAAGGATTTAAATCAGTCTTATATAACCCGTTTATTATAATTGAACAACCCGAAACAAAATCTAGATACAAGTCCATGCATGCTAAATCTCACCATCTCTCAACAACGTCAATGACTTAGAAACACTTCAGCGTGGAAATCAGATAAATCACATGTATAAATTTTAAAATTGTTACTCCAACAGTGCTACCTGCATAAACATAAATTCAGGCATTCCTTTTCTTCTCTAAATGAAAAATGAACATGAATAATATTTCCAGAAGAGGATGACCAAACACAGTGGAAGACTTGGAAGCAGTCAAGAGTAATACAATGGAAAATGCAACTCATAATACCAAAGTCCATATGAAGAATTCTCATCTGCAGCTACTTACATATTTTTCAAGCTCATGAATCTTTTTTTGAAGCTCAGATCTTAGTCGATAATTCTCTTCCACCTGTAAACAACATACAAGATAAATCAGTAAATCAAGTTAACCACTATGACTAATAGACAAAATGACTGATCAACTTTTCCAAGGGCATAGAGATTCCAATAAACAGGGATCAAAAGTTGGAACTACAGGGCATAGAGATTCCAGCATTGTTTGAATAACTAACATTCTGTATACGCATGTGATTGTCAACATAACATGAGAGAGATTTCTCATGTACTAATGCCTTGGCAGAAAGACAGCCCTATCCCAAACCTCAGAAATTAGAATCCTTGCCTGAATCAGTAGAATCCTAATTGGCTAATTCATTACTAGTAGCCGCTGTATCTCTTCATTAAAGTTTGAAAGTTCAGTAATATCTACTCAACTGCAAAAACTATGCAAACATATTTGAATATATACATGCACAAGAGAAGGGACTAGAGTAAAACACCTGTTGCTTAATAGTAGCTTCAGCTGCCTCTACAGCTTTCATAACCTGAAATAGCCCATCGCTGTTGCTCACACTGATGTGGCCCGAATCGTTTATGTGCAAACCCGCGAATTTACTCTCTAAACTTCCTCCTCCATTTTCCATCTCTCTCCACTTTCAACCTTCAATTTTTTCCCATTTTAGCCAACAATTATTCAACATGAACAATTAATTACATCAACACACAGAAGCGCACACATATAACAACAACGAATAATAATAATAGTAATACTATGCTAATGAAATGAAAAACAGGAAAACCCTAGAAAAAGACAGATGAGAAGTGTTTTTCCCTCAATCGCCATCTATTTACGTGTACATACGTGCTCGGCTACTTACAGAGAGAGGAAGCAGATTGTAAAAAACCCAGCGATTGAAGCAGATTCCGGTACCGGAGAAGAAAAAAATACGTATTGCAGAGCTTGAGAGACGGGGAAGATTAATTGGGAGGACTGAGTCTTGTAGAACGAAAACTAACGTGAAGAAGGGGTGTTTGGGCGGGTCAGGCTTGAGCACGCGGGTCAGGCTTGAGCACGCGGGTCGCTCTCTCTGTCTCCTTCTCCGTTGTCGTCTTCCTCCTCCTTGTGGCTTCACTGAATTTTAAATATAATGACAGAGAAGACCCGCTGACTATTTTATTACTGTGCCTCTCTACTGCTGGGCGCTGGCGTATCAAACTATCAATTGTTCTTATCATTTTTATTATTAAGTATCAAACTATATATACATACTCCGTATATAATATATATAATATAATTTTCCTAACAAGTTAATATGATGTTTGATCTATGACATTTCAAATTTAGTAATTGAAAATTCATTTAATTTTATATAGTCTTCTCTAAAAGGTTGAATCCTTACATCCCAATTCGACAGAGTATTTAGGAGAATGTAAGTCACGATGACTCAATGACTCAACAAACATAATCAAATGTCAAATGTCAGTGCGCACAAGGAATCTGCCCACTTTGAGCATAATCCCCACATTATCACCGTCGAAGTTCAAACATTGGTATCTTTTCCTAAATATTGTCTACTGAATCATTGAGCTAAACCCGTGCGAGCTAATTTTATATAAGATTCCATTTTCATATGTGTGTGTCCAGGACGAAGGAACTCCCATGTAAAAAATGTACATAAATCTTGATAGTACTAATTCCGGGTTGTACCCGTATACCCGTAGAATATATGTATTGTACGCAATAAGTATGAACAAGAGAGATATAGTTCAAAGTAGTATTTTATTCATATGGGAAGAGCATTAATTTAGAGAGAGAGAGAGAGAGATAGTGGAGAATGAAGGAGATGACCCTTAACTTGGAGGGCTAAGGCCCTATTTATAGGGTCAAGAGTTGGCGGGTTGACCTTGACCTGTTGGCAATGATCCGAACCGTTTGACCAGACCCAAGTAGAAGCACGGAGCGTACGGGGAGCATTAACCCGAGGTATATTCCCCATCAAATCTCAATCACTAATTTAGTCAAAATCAACTCATCTTTAACAAAAAATTTCAATTATAATCTACAAAAATGTGCACTCAAAGATTAAAAAAAAAATAATTAAAAAAAAATTGTGCACTCAAAAGCACAACAATATGCAATCAAGGCAATTATGGTACAAAAATGAGGGTTATTTAACTTGGTTATTGAAGCAATTACCTTCACAAATTCTTTGTACAAAAACTGAGAGTTATTTAACTCCATTGTTATTAAAGAAATTACCCTCAACTAATTCATAATAATTAATAAATAGTAAACAATAACATATGATTGAACTTGAATAGCGGTCTTTTAAATATTAGACACGAGTCTTTCACTTAACGAGAAATCATTATAGAGTTATTATAATTCATATAGTACGACTTCTTTATGGACTTTTGATGAAAAATAATTCAAATATTTGTGCATTGTCAGTACTTTGACCAAGTCTTTGGTAGTTTGGTACAAGTTGAACAAACTTGATTAAAATTCGACAATTTTATTGCGGAGTATAATTTAGTACAATTTTAATTAATTTTGTTACGTAACGTTTGACCCGTATTGACCACTTGGCAATCAAATTTATTATGCATTTTTCTTTGCTCGAAACCCCGTATTCACCACTTGGCAGTCAAATTTATTATGCATTTTCTTTGCTCGAAACAAACATTTTTAATTATTTTTAAATTGATGTTTTATAAATTAAAAATTACTAAATATAGAATTTAGCGTAATCTTTCGTTTTTGTATGGCAACTTTGATAAAACATGCTGAAATATTGTATTCATTATTTGAATAAAATAATAAAAATATTGAAATTACCATTTTAAAATAATTATTCTATATCTTCAAAATAATAATAATAATAATAATAATAATTCTATATTTATTTTATACTATCAATAATGTATTGGATGATTTGGATCTAGTCCCATTGAGCATCTAATGTGTTTCACTTTTTTTATTAACAAACCTTTAGCTTAATAATTGTCTAAATGCCAACTAATAGACATATTAGTAAGGTCAATGTCCACTTGATCCTCTTGTTTATTAGTCTAATATTAGTGTAGTTTATGAGCGATGTAGAAACATTTATCATTTATATATTATAATTAAATAACTTTATTATGAATAATACGGAGTATATTATAATTAAAAATATTAAATTATGTTCTTCTCGATCATTTATAATGTTTTAATTGTTTTGTTGTCAAATTAATTTTGTTTAGAGAAAAATATTTGGTAGATAGTAAATTGCAATTCATCACATAACTCAAATACAATATTATAAATAAAATTATATTTTATTATAAATACATAGAACATTGTGATTATCAAGTCAATTGCACTATCAATTATCGGTTGGAAGTAATAATAATAATAATATAATATTATATAAATTAATTTATAATAACAACTCTATGGTATCACTTGAAGTATTGTTGAATGGGGAAAACATATAGTTCAACGAATATATAATATAAATAAAATAAAACAAAAAGTCGTATCCGTACAATTAAGTGTATTTTGTTATTTTTTTAGTACTATTGACTCTGTTACAATGTAATATGTGATCATTGTTGGATAATATGGTTGAAAAATTCCAGAATAATAATTCTACAGAAAAATTATTATTATATGGGGAAAACAGAAAACTGGAAAGGAAAAGGTGGAGTGTTTGGATATAGGTTTAGCACGAGTTCGAACACAGTTATTTTCCTTAAAACCTTATTTGCTACCTCCCACAAGTGCTAGGAGCGTTGTAGCCTAGGTTTCTTAGGATAAAACGTGCTACGATTCTTTGTTTAAGCACCTAAACAAAGAACCCGGCAACCAAAGCAAAGCTGTGAACACTGTTGGCTAAAGAAGAGAGTAGAAGCAGAGTTTTTAGAAGATAAAGCTACTGGAATTTCTTTCGTTTCTTTACTGTGTAAAATGCTTCTGTCCTACCTCTCTTTATATAGGGATGTTGGAGGGATAGCATTCAACATGGCCATTAAATTGGTATTAAAACCAATTGTGTAACACCTGTAACAGCCACCCACTAAGTAGGATTAAACTCAGGTTTAAAATTAGAATTAAAACAGTATCACTGTTGCCTAAAGAAGAGAGTAGAAGTAGAGTTTTGAGAAGATACAGCTACTGGAATTTCTTTCGTTTCTCTACTGTGTAAAATGCTTAGTAGGATTAAACTCTGGTTTAAAATTTTGGGCAAATCTTGTTTCCAAACCAATGTGGGACAAAGTCCTCTATTTTCCTTCATCTCCCAACTCAAATGGGTCTACTTTGAGAATCAATATCTCATTCACCCATTATCCGTTTTGAGCGTACAATATATCAATCTCTTCGTCTCACTACGAAGTACCCGAATCCACTTTGACCCGACCCAAATCGAAAGTGGACCTCACTGATAATTGTACCATAAAATAGCCACTTAATATGCCGTTTTATGCCATTTTAAACTAATTTTTCCAACAATCCTAACTACTTTCTCAACATACTAAAGTACAAAAAGTCAATACCCCCCTTCCCAACTATGACTCAAACCCATGACCTCCATTTGGGAGAGTCACTTCATGCCATTAAAACACAAGATTATTGACTGTATTTTGTTACACAAAGCAATAAAAACGTGAAATATTGGATATAAAAAATGCTTCTATTTAATTTGTGAGACTTATGAAGTTATTATTATTATTATTATTATTATTATTTTTTTGGGGGGGGGGGGGGGGGGGGTCAAAATATATAGTGCTTAATTATACTTATGGGAATTATATTTACCATATAATGCATTCACGGTGTAGTGAGTAGATTGCAATGGATGTTATGAACTGATGATCACGCGGAATGATGGACCCGTGAGATCGAAGGTTTCTTTTATTTCTATAATAATAATCAATTAGACTATGTCTCAATGATGGTTGGCATTTATGGGCAGTAAACAATCATCTCATTCATACAACTAATCTGCATATATATGGAATGATGATTACCTCTTATAAGAGATTTTGTTTAACAGTTCAAGTGTGCTCATGAAATGATTAAGATTTGAGCAGCTAAATGCATGTAGTAATGAAAGACACCTAGTAACCTTTGTAATTATCATATCATAAAGGCCGGGATGTGGGGGCCCTTAGGGTTAGGGTTCAGCCTTTTGGAATAATTATCATATCATAAAATTTAGAAATTAAACTTTAACTTAATAAAAAAATTAACATCAATCAAAGTATTGACAAAATTTAAAAGTATTTTTAGTAACGATAAAAAGATTTTGTTTTTATATGTGTGTGTCCCGAACGAAGGAGCTCCCATGTAAAAAATGTACATAAATCTCAATCATTAATTTAGTCAAGATTAACTGCTCTTTAACAAAAATTTTACACTTATAATATACAAAAATGTGCACTCGAATGCACAACAATGTGCACTCAAAAGCATAAAAATGTGCAATCAAAGCAATTATGGTACAAAAAATGAGAGTTATTTAACTTCAGTGTTATTGAAGAAATTACCCTCATAAATCCTTTGTACATTTTGATATGTTCAACTCACAAATTTCCTTAGAATTTTTGTTATTGAAAATACTAAATTCGATCAATAAAGGTAAAATATATAATAAATACTTATTCATTTTACACTTCTTCGCCTTTGAGTTTGGAAGCTGAATCAACATATCATATTGTTTAGGACAATCAAATTTCATTGTTTGCAACTAATCCCATTCCAATTTTTGAACCTTTGAGTGCACATTTTTGTTTGGAAACGGTAGGGGGTGAAACCCAAAGGCAAAAAAACAAAAACAAAAAAAAAAACAAAAAAAAAAAAAAAAACAAAACAAAACAAAACAAGGCAGTAGCTAAGAGTTCAACAAAACAATGCGTTGCGTACAAGCACTGATTTGATCATAATCAACCCGGTTTTTACAACCCAAGGGGCTCATCAAAACTCAATCCAATCTATCTCCCCAAAAAGCACAAGCATGCCTTGTTGCCTTAAAGTGCATATTGTTGTGGCTTTGAGCGTACATTGTTGTTCTTTCAAGTGCACATTGTTGTTCTTTAAAGTGCACATTGTCATGCCTTCAAGGATTTGAACATAATGCAAAAATCACAATTTCAATGCATATTGTTATGCCTTTCAGTGCATACTTTTGTGCCTACTAATGCATATTTCTAACTAATAAAACAAATCTACATAGAACATATTTATTATATTATTTTGGAAATTAAATGTGGTACAAGATGTTAAAGAACCTACTAATTAATGTTGTGCATTATAGTGCATATTTCAGTAAACATTGATGTGCCTTGGTGTGCACATTATTGTGCCTTCAATTGCATATTGTTATGCCTTCGAGTATATATTGTTGTGTCTTCAAGTGTACATCGTTGTTCCTTCAAGTGCGCATTATTGTGCCTTCAAGTGCATATTGTTGTGCTTTCAAGGATTTGAACATAATGCTTAACACAACAAATTACCAAAAATGTCACTACGTTAAAAAAAAAATCATTATGATTGTTGATATTGACTAGATTAATAGTTGATATTCAATCCTATTTTTCACCTGGCAACAAAACCAGCACCTTCGCATTTAATCTCTTATATGTGTGTGTGTGTGTGTGTATTGTTTATTTATTTATTTATATGTACAACTATACAATTTGAAAAATAAAGAACACATAATATAAGATTGAAGAAACCATAGTATATTGTTCATTGTTAAATCTGTAAAACTATGGTGGTTAGAGTTTGATGCTAAGGTCTTAGCATCTATACAACTCAAAATCAGTCAGGATCTTCGCTTACAAATACATAAATTGACCTGCTATAGTTTTTATGTATTTGTGTATATCAAACTAGCTCCTATGATTTAGTCACAATCTAAAGCAACTCTCTAGAATGGACTCCCCTCTAGCTAAGCCCACCAACATCTCTTTAATTGTCATTGGATCGTGTCGAGACCTATATATATATATATATATATATATATATATATATATATATATATATATATATATGTGGAGAGAGAGAGAGAGAGAGTACTACTTGCAATGCATTACCTGTTCATATATAACTATTTCCTCAATCTACTGAAACACACAATCTTCCATATGTGAGAGCAACTTGGTACCACTAGACTACAAGATCCTTGACAAAACAAAGTTAAGATTCAATAATAATAATAATAATAATAATAATAATAATAATAATAATAATAATAATAATAATAATAATAATAATAATAATAATAGACAATCATGACAATCTTCAATATTAGACAAATATAGTTGTCTTGATAATAGTTATGGTAGTCCAAATAGGCCCAAACAAGTTAAACGACAATCATTGTTGCTTCTGTAATAACGGTTATCATGAAGCCACTTAAAATGGTAAAGATAAAAACGCAACATTATTTAAAATTTGAGGATTAAAAAAGTAATAAATACAAGAAATGTAATTGTACTTTAAAACTTGAAAACCAACGGTTATCATGAAGCCACTTAAAATGGTAAAGATAAAAACGCAATCTTATTTAAAATTTGAGGATTAAAAAAGTAATAAATACAAGAAATGAAATTGTACTTTAAAACTTGAAAACCATATGAGAGCAAGTATGATAAGGATCGATTGTTGTATTGTCTTTCAATTTTGGTATACAAATTCATTTGTCTAGTTATATCGCATTATTTACTTTATTTTTATGTTATTAATTTTTCCAATTTCTATCATCATTTTCAAAACTTACTTTCGGAATTATATAATAACAAATTCGATGCATTAATACTAAATACTTGAAAGGTCACAAATATTAATAACAAATAACAATAACATTAATAAATGAATCATAACTATTTAAATATGATACACGAATGTAATTTTGAAGATTTTGTGGGGAGCTGCCATTGAGAGAAAATAGGAAGGAACCTGAGACTACTGATACCATATGAGAACTGAACGTATTGGATTAATCATATAGGTAGAATAGTACAAGATATATATATATATATATATATATATATATATATATATATATATATATATATATATATATATATATATATATATATAGGAATAGAGCATAGAATCATGGTATAATAAGTACATGAATAGAATCCTAGTATACGACAGATACAAAGTCCTAATACGAAGATCGTCTTGGGCGGGAAGAAGACGAAGACTGCGACTACTTCGACCGCCACCCCCTCCGCCTTATTGGTGACAACGGTGATACAAACGAACTCGGAGGCCGACCTCGCAGTGACCCGTGCTTACAACAAGATAAGCAAAGAAAAGACCACCAACGGGGACGACAAAACCTGATCGAAATGGCTTAAGGGGTCCGTCTCACCTGACCACACCCCAACCATATACGCCCTTTTGTCCGGATCGGGGCCCGAGTCACTCCTATACAAGATCTGCTCCTATATGCCAGCTCCCGAAGACACTTCTGAATGGTCGACTAACCGGGTCAGCGAGCAGGGAACTCTAGAGATTATCTAGGTAACTTATTGCCCGATCATTTCCCTCCGTTACTTTTCTTGCAATTTACTTACCTCGTATATTTGCAGTTGAGTGGAACTTTGTCGAGCCAAGGGTGCCGAACAAGCACACCAAAAATATATGGAGCTTTCTAAAAGGCAATGGCTCGAGATGACTCCAAGGTTCGCGATCTGGAAGGTAAAGTCACGAAGCCCTAGAAAAAGATAGAGACGATCGTCTCAGACTACAAGGCTTTCCTAGCCTTTCTCAATGATGGTGCCTTGATCCCCGGGCTACTAGCCGAAGCCGTAAGCAAACTTATGTAAGGGACACCCTAGCCGAAGCGTTGGACGACGACGATTTGGCTACCGTCCTTGGCGTCCTGCCTAAGGAGGACACTGATCCTGGTTCGACACACACACACATTACGCTTTCAAGGAGCCACTCGCGAGGGAGCCGGAGGGAGCGCGAGAGAATACTCATCCTCATGAGGAGTAATTTAAGTGATCGAGAGCCCGACCTCGGATGTGTCGAGCATCGATGATGAAACAACATCAGAATCGGGAGCTCGATCCCAATTTTGTGCCGAACCTTCAAAACTTTGTGCCATTTGGGTCTTTTGTTAATTTAATTATAATAGTTTATCATCGATTTCAGCTTTCCCTTCCTTCATGTTCTATATACACGTTGCCACATTTTACACACCTCCATGTCGGAGATTTTTCCTTAAATTTCGTTATATGAACGTTTTGCCGATTGAGGATCATGGTCCCGTGACCTCTTTGATTATTCATATTAAGAGTTTCTCATTACACACACTGTAAGAACACAAACAAAGCACCTTAAGAACACAAATCACGCGCACCTAAAGCTTTAGCTCGACGCACCTTAAGTACACAAACCACACACCTTAAGTTTCAACAACTCACACACCTTAAGCATACAAATCATGCACTTTAAGAAGGAAAACAACGCAATTTAATACGGAAAACCACGCACCTTAAGCACAAAACCTTGCACCTTAAGCAAAAAAACCACGCACCATAAGCAAAAAAAACACACACCTTATGAAGGAAAACAACGCACCTTAAGTAAAAAACCACGCACCTTAAGCAGAAAAACCATGCACCTTAAAATTGACCTAGATGCAAAAATTACCATTTGTTAATCCTGAACATTGATTTAAGCACAATCAACGGCTCATATTTAACCGCACAATCGCATGTGGGCGCACCAACCGCATTTGAACCTAATTCTACATGCGGACTTCTTCAGTAATGCACAATATGTTATAAATGAATGCACAATAACTACTCAAGCTTCGTGACTACTACATGAATAAACTGTGCATTCTGGTAGTGAATTTTGTGCATTCATGTAGTGGGTTCGGTGCATTCATGTAGTTGATGCAATGCATTTATGTAATCGTCACTGAACTGGAGCAGTTATTGTGCACTCATTAAGAACTGAACGTGCATTACTGAAGAAGTCCATATGTTCTCACGTTAAGAACTATTATCACTTGAACGGGACCATATATATACACACACACACACACACACACACACAAAATAGCAAAATTACCAATCTGATCCTTACTTATTTTTCCCTTAGTTAAGTCCTCAACTTTGAAAATCTTAACCAATTTTGTCATCCATTATGTCAATGTCAGAAATTTGTTTAATTCGAGGGTATTGTTAGAATTTCACATCACATTTACAATTTTCTCTCTTATTAAACTGAAGAGTTAATTTATCAAAATGACCCATTAACTATAGCAAAATTACCATTTGGTATTGCACTAGCATGGGAAACAATGTGAAATTTCAACAATACTCTCAAATTAAACAGACGTATGTCAACTAAACAAACGGATGACTAAATTGGTTAAGATTTTTAAAATTGGAGAATTACTTAGGCAAAAAAAAAGTCAAGAACCAAATTGATAATTTTGCTATAGTTAAGGGACTAATTTGATAATTAACTCTTTTTATAATTCTATTTTTATTAAACATCTATTTAATATTAATTAGGAATAAATTATTTGTCATTCATAAGGGAAAGTATAACATTTTTTTTTAGTGAAGATGTAATACTTTTAAATCAAAACATAATATTTAGGAGTTGAACAATTATTTATGAGAAAAAAAATATGTAATAATTTCAAGTCAAAATGTAATATTAGGAATTAGAGAGTTACTTTTAAGAAAAATTATAATATTTATAAAAAAATTTGACTATTTTAATGAGAAATTTTGTCAATGTAATAACTTGAATATTACATTTATTTTTCTTTTACAAATTTATAATTTTTTATTTCTCATATATTCTTATATTTTTAATAATCCTATTTTTATTAAATATTTATATTTAATTACGCAATGCACAAGTTGGATGTGACTAAAGTAGCCCTGATTTGGGGCAACCGTAAAGGTTTAAGGACTTTCGGGGGCAGAAATGCTATTAGGAGGAAAATTAGGAAAAGGAAAGAAAAAAATTGCCGGAGCTTCTATGATGTATGCGGGTTTTGCCCATTTGGATGAGAAGAAAAACAACAAAACTGAAAAATCCTATTCGGAGAAGCATCGACGGTGGCTCTGGAAATTACAGTGTTCTCCCTCTCTGAAGCAGACACTTAAATCCAGTCCATCTTCAATTTCATCGATTCGAATCCTGTTCGTCGGTTGTATTTTCTATAATTTTTTTTTTGGTGTTTGTGTGTATTTTCGGTAAAATTTGATCGGTTTCTGTATTTTTTGTTATCCGATTAGGTTTCTAGAAAAAAAAATTGATCTTTTGTCGTTTTAGTAGTATTCTGATTGTTTCCACCGGAGAAGAATCTCAATCCAGATAGATACAATAAAGAGATAGCTGGTCCACTGGGGATGGATCTAACATTGAAGAGCACTAATTGTTTATAGAGTGAATTGGGCGTGGATGAGGATGGGATTAGAATCTTCCGGTGAATCCTTTTCCAGATTTCCAGAAGATTAACACCCTTATGGTGGGGTGCCAAATGATCTACTGCCTTGGATAGTTTTCAGCTTTGGGTAACTTGTATTGCTTCTAAATTAGATTTTTATATTAATGGATGAGGCTAGTACTAGTTCTGAGGATGGGAAACAATGTATGCTGTCGGAATCAGTACCCCAAAGTAGCTCCTCCTTAGCATCGCCATCATCTGTGGCACCAGCCACTACACCATGGCGTCCTAGCCAACTTGCCTTCATTCCATTTTCAAAATGTGTTCGGGATGATAAGCCCAAAAGCTTGCGTGTGGTTGTTAGAAGACCTGTGAGTACTTCTTAAGCTCATTACTCTCATTTTGGGTTCTTGCCTGTGTGTCTTGAGCTAAAGCAGGAATTTTCTGTGGGCCTGCATTTTTGCTATGTTGCCATTAATTACATATCATGATAACTCTCATTATGGTTATTGATATTATTATTTCTACTATTGCTATTTTTCTTAGTTAGGTGTTGTATTGAAGACTAATAGTTCTAGACAAGTGTCATTGGTGCCTCCCTTGTTTTATGGTTGCTCTCTTGCTCTTTAGTAATTTACAAACCTTTTTTTTTCCTTCCATTTCCTGTCTTGCTCATCCCGAGGTGGTTTAGAAAAGAGCCCTGCTACCAATTTCATAACAAACCGATGGAGGAAACATTATTTTGTTCTTTCCTCCTCTTTTGTGACAGTCAAGGTTCAGTTTCTGAGCGACTATTGGTTCCTTGATAATACATTACATTGTTTTGCATGTTCATCAATTACATTTATAAAAAAGAGCATAGTACACTTATACATTACATATTTAAGTAACAAGAGAAATCTAGAGGAACATGCCATTTTCCTGCAAATTAGAAAAATAATGCAATTGTACCAACGTATATATATATCATAGAATCTACATTTTCCTCCTAACTAGATGCTGAAGGTATGACACATATTGTGGCTTCCTGGAATTCCTTGTGATTCCCATGACTAATCCTCATTATTGTAAGGAGTTGAATCAGTTGATGTTTGCAGGCTAAAAGTTTGGCAAACATCTTCTTATTAATTCTCCTTGTACTTAATAGAATCAGGCCTATGATAATCAGCTGCTGTCTATCCATTCAATTCACCTACTGTATTTGATAGTGGATAGAGATTAGGCTTATGAACCGATTTCTGGGCCTAATTGCATGTTGTATTGTAGAATGAAAGTATAAAATATACGGTCCTTGTGATGACACTATGGATTCAACTTTGCAGTTGGTGACAAGATTAACCAAGGACATTGTTGAAACGTACCGCATATGCAATCCTCAGTTCCAATATTCAGAGGAATTGAATCCAAAGAGATTCCTTACAACCCCTTCTGCTGGAGTGTTGAATGACGGCCATGATAATGCTAATTCAGACCTCATTCTGTTTTGCAATCTTGAGTTGGTCAATTTAGACACTCAAAGAAGGTCTGTAATTCTTGCTTATTTACTAATTTTTATTGTATATCCCTGTCTATGTCACACTATAAATCTTGTGTGCTATCAACGGATACAAATAGAATTGTGGTAATGAATATGAAAATTAGACACGTTCTTATTACTGCAAGTTTATGTAGTTTTCACTTGTCTCTTTAGTTTACACCTCAGTATGCATACTTGTTTGCATAAATCTATTTGCTTTGATTTTTTTCTCCCCTCTTTCATTACAGAGCAAACAAGTCATCCATGAGAAAAAACAAACAACTGAAATTATTTATTTAAATCTGTCATTTGAATGAGCAGTTTTATGTATCTCTTAATGTGATATTAAGTTGAATAAATTTTTTGTTTTCATTTTCTGAAGAAAAATTATTTTTCTTGGTATATATATGCACCTAGGCATTTTGTAAAGATTATTAGCAATTTTCAATACCAATAAACAACATTGAGAAATGATCAATTGGCCTGGAAAATTCTTGAGGCATGAAAAATAGGTCAATGCAAATTTCATGTTAGCAAAACATTTGTTGGTGTAGTTGTAACAAACTCGAGCATTTTTTCTCTGTAGGTACATTGTCAAAGAAATTCTTGGGCATGGTACCTTTGGGCAGGTTGCTAAATGCTGGGTTACAGAAACAAATAGTTTTCTTGCTGTGAAAGTCATCAAAAACCAACCAGCATATTATCAACAAGCACTTGTTGAAGTTTCTATCCTGACAACAGTAAGAAACTCCTGCTGCTGGTTTTCTTGATTTGATTGCCTTAGCAATGAAGTTCATCTGGATATGGTCATTTATTTACCTTCGACTCTTTTTGTGCAGTTGAATAAGAAGTTTGATCCTGAGGATAAGCATCATATAGTTCGCATTTATGATTACTTTGTGTATCAAAGACACTTGTGCATTGCTTTTGAACTGCTAGATACTAATTTGTAAGTTGCTGGATTAAGCAAGATTAGTTGCTTAATCTAATTACGTAGTTTACTATACTAATACTTTCACTGATATTGTTATTACTGATTAAGTGATTGTATGGTGTTAACTTTTTTCAAATAGGTATGAGCTTATAAAGTTGAATCATTTTAGGGGATTGCCATTAAGTATTGTTCAGTTGTTTTCAAAGCAGGTAATGAACTCTTTGGTTTGAATGACAATGGATCTGAACTAATAAAGTATCTAACAGTTCTTTTTTTTTTTTTTTTTTTTGGTATTATTTCAATAGATCTTATGTGGATTAGCTCTTATGAAAGATGCTGGTATAATCCATTGTGATCTGAAGCCTGAGAACATTCTGTTATGCACAAGGTGAGCTGTTGTGCTGATGAGCTTGGCTTGATAATATGCTATTTTTAGTGTCTTTCATTTTCAAATTCTAGTGTTCAAACATGATATTGACAGAGTAAAGCCTGCTGAAGTGAAAATAATTGACTTTGGATCAGCATGCATGGAAGATCGAACTGTATACTCCTATATTCAGGTTTCTGTTTCTTTTCTTGCTGATTGATATTCTAATTTTGTTATGCCAAAGAGTCTTGATTGATAATGATTTTCCCTTATGCAGAGTCGGTACTATCGGTCACCTGAAGTTCTACTTGGGTATCAGTATCCTTGACTCTTGTTGAAAAAACACTATGTCTTCATTTGTTTATTTCCGCTGCAGCATAATATGCTTGAATTTGTATTGCCACAGATTTTGGTACGAGGAAAACTCTTGCTTGGCTGGTTATTCTGGCAATATTTGTTCAATTCAATGTGTTTGGGCTCTTGAAACAAGTCTAAGACTTAGTCTAATAGCTTTCTATTTCAAAAAAGTCTAATAGCTTTCTTAACAAAACGTTTACTATATGTATTTTTGCCTAATTACTTGAGTTACATTTCAAGTCTATTTAATTATTTATTTTTGTTGTAACCTTAATCCTTTCTTAGATATACTACTGCTATCGACATGTGGTCATTTGGCTGCATAGTGGCTGAGTTGTTTCTGGGACTTCCATTGTTCCCAGGAGCTTCTGAATTTGATCTTCTGAAGAGGATGATCAAAATACTAGGGTATGCTGTTCAATGTCTCAAAAGACCTTACTCTTATTCTTTCAATTTGATGGTGCACTATGTACTTGCACATTTATCCAAAAAAATTTTCCTGTCATATATTTCAAGATAATTGCTGCTTCCAGTATCACAATGCTTATTATTGCAGTTGTTTATAAAAGCTCTCATTTGAGTTCATTGCAATATTTACTTGTTTCTCTCACTTTCTTACGTTCTTCTTCAACAATTTTGTAAAAAGATTCAGTAAATTGTTGACTTGCCTAATTGAACACTGATTTTCACTTTTTTTTTTTTTTCATTAGTTTATAAAATGGCATTTTTAGAAAACATAATGTTTTTTATGGTATATTATGATTATGACAAGAGGAAAAATGTAGACATGTAACTTTACAGCAGACTTCATTGAGTTATTAGCATTTTATTTCTTATAAATAAGGTCATTATGATTTGTGTGGTTGTTAGATTCAAAGTATGCACAGCTTGATAGAATTCAAAATGGCCAGCTTATTAAATTCCTCTTCTTTCCTTCTCTCTTAACTGACCAAGTTGATACTTGTCACAAATATTATTTTGACTGCTACTTTCATCTTTTCTATGTTATTTTTTAATAAAATTCTTATTTCAACTTAACATGATGATAATTTGTTTATAATTGCTTCATTTTTTTCATCACCGCCATCAAATCCCAGTCATCATTTTGCTGTAATGATAATTTGTTGAGGTATTTATTTAGTCATTGACATTACCTGCTTGAATGAAACCTTGCTCTTCTTGCAGTGGTCAACCCCCTGATTATTTACTGAAGGAAGCCAAAAATACTAGCAAGTTCTTCAAATGCGTCGGGAGTGTTAGCTACGAAGAGAGCAGCCAACATACTATGAATAGATGTAGTAGCATATACCAAGCTTTGACTGAAGAGGAATATGAAGCGGTGAGTACTTTTATTGAGCCATCTCTCATTGCATTCTTATTCTCTTGTTCTCCCAATAGACAGTCACAGATGTATGTATTAGTATGTTTCAGATTTGGCTAGGTTTTAATGTTCTCATCACATTGGCTTCAAGAATTGAAATAAAAAAGTATTGGCGAGATGCTAAAAATCTTTTCATGCTTTAAATGTTCTATCCGGTGGCCTTTTTCATGTTTACCTCATTGTGTTCTGTAAACAGAAGTGAGCTAATTTGGTAATAGCAGTACTTCATACCTATCTATGACTAGGAGCTTGTTTGGTCCAGCTTATTGCTTCTTGAAATAGGGTTATTTTCTTTTCTTTTATTTTCTCTTCTTCCAGTAGATAAGCCTTGAAAGAAGCTACGCCAAACAAGCACTAGATTAACTTTTTGTCCAGCTGATATCTTCACATCTAATAAACTAAAAAGTGATAAATATTATTAAACCTACTGGGTAAGAAATAACTAATGGGCTATTAATGTCTCTTCCTTTTTGTGGTCACCATGATGTTTGGTACTACATAAGTGTATGAACCAGATAAACTTTTCCTTTAATTATGTATTAATGATTTCCTTACCATCATTTATTTTCTTTTTAATAATTCAAGTTGCTGCAATAATTCTTTTCTAGAAAGCATTATACCCTTAAAAATTTATAATCTACTTTTGCGTTTTTTTTTTCTTCTTCTTCTTCAGAGAGAGCTGAAAAAGCCTGTACTAGGGAAGGAGTACTTCAATCATATGAACCTTGAAGCAATTGTGAGAAAATACCCTTACAAGAAGAATTTACCAGAGGAAGATATTATTAAAGGTCAGCATTTAGATTCTTTACTTAAAGGTTAACACAACTTTAGCCTTTAGGATTTTCTGATGAATGTGGTTTATACAGTTTTGGACAATTATGCTGACATTCTACTGTATCTTGAAATTGTTATAGAGAACCAAATTCGGTTAGCACTGATTGATTTCTTGAGGGGACTTGTTGAGTTTGATCCGGCAAAACGGTGGTCGCCTTTGCAGGTCACCTAATTTCCACCTGTGAATAGTACCTTACAGACTTGTTTTCACTAAATAGCATCTCATATAATCATTTTATTGTTGATTACTACAAAGCTAAATATTTACAGTCCTCAAAATCTTAAACATCAAGCTTCTATAGTGCACCCTGGACCCCATTCCCCTTTCCCCTCCCACATGCACACCCAATTTCTCCAGGCTTACGTAATTAGAATATGGCTTCTATATTGTAAGTTGTAAGGATGATTCATGATCGGTATACCGTATACCCAAGACACATGATGGTGGAGTGTTCTGTGCTAAGTTATACATTCATACTCAATATAGGTCACTTGGATAATTTCAAATTCCCCTTGGTGCAAAGTGCATATAATTAATTCATTTTAATACTATGTTGCATGAGTTATAAATGATTTCAATATGTCATGATGGACTTTCCCTAATTTCATTTCATTCACAAATCTCAAGTTATTTTATTTATTAAAAAAAACTTTTGTGCTTACAAAGTGTTACAGAAGATCAATTATGCATGGAGCTTCATTACTCACTACCTCTATACCAACCTAGGATCTTTTTTACACTGAAAAAGCAAAACTCTCTAATAAAATATATTTCAATTTATGAATAGGATTTACAACCCCTTCGAAATTTATTCTAACTCGTTTCATTTTATCAGCTGTCTTCTTTAGTTGGGGAGGATGTGTTTTTAGAATAACACCCCAATATTTAACATCTATACTTGTGCCTTTCTTTTGATTGAAGGAGTCTGCATACTTGAAATGGTAATTAAATTGAAGGTTAATGGAAGAAACTCTGTTTTTGGGCAATGGAATCATATAAAACTTTTGTTCTCCCTAAATTTGATGTGGGCAGAACAATCTGTAGGTTTAATTCATCCAAATCTTTTTGCACTATGCCACTATGTACTTAAATCAAAATCTATTCACACAATGATTGGAGTAGGGTCAGTAGGCTAGTAGCTAAAAATTCCAAGAATATTTGTATGCATCTGGTGGTTATGATAAAAGTAAATTCATTGGATGTGTATTTATTATGTTGGATTGTTGGTCATGATTTAATGATCAAATTTTGAGGGAAGCTATTCTCTTTGTATCAATTTTTTGTGTGCAGATATTGTACTTTATTGTTGTGTGTATGCTTGTCATGATCAAAATTTTTAATTTTCTTAATGAAAAATCCTTGAATTAAATGGGTACAATGGCGTGCTTTCCTTCTTACTTTTGATATACTTGTTTCTTGTCATTTTTTTTTTTTTGGTTAAGCATTTCCTTAGCATTAGCATGATCTGAACTTCATGTTCTGCTAGATAAATGTTATGCAGACAAAACTGTCATGAAACTGCTATAGTTTGCCATTCTCCCTGACTCTAGTTTCATTGATTTCATAATTTTAAGTTCATTTGATGCAGGCTTCAAAGCATCCTTTTGTAACCGGGGAGCCTTTTACACATCCTTACCAACCTGCACCAGAAACCCCTCGGATGGTGAGTGGGAGATTTCTTGTCGACTTCCAGTGTTTCCATTTTAAGAGGGCAATGAAAGGATGATTACCTTGGATTTCTACTCATTTGCCCCAAAAACGCATATAAAAAAAAATTGTAATGTATTATGATATGATTGTTTCTGTTGTTGCATTTCTATTTATGTGCTCATGTCTGTGTGTGTATTCAAATATTATTCTTACATTGCCCCTATAGAACAAACTTGTTGGATCCATCCCTGCTGGGAAGAAAACTAATCAAAATCAAAACCATAAAAAAAGAAAAAAGATTAAGGAATTGAGATTCTAGAGTTTTGTCATTTTGTTCATTACTTTTTTTCTTGTAATATGTATAATGATTTGTATAGGTTGACCTTCTTTTGGTCACTACTACCATATGAAGATTGAGAGATGTGGAGAAATAGAATCAAACCTTATTAAAATTTTGCTCTCATATTCTACAGCCTGTTTCTCAAAATGTAAAGGTGGACCATCACCCAGCTGGAGGTCATTGGTTTGCTGCTGGACTCTCTCCTAATGTGAGCAAGCTGCTTTTCAAATCAAATATAAATATGCCTCTACTTTTTGTGGATGGATGGGTCTTTTTAATTTTTTAATTTTTTTTATTTTTATTTTTTATGCAATAGGGGGGAGGTGGTGATTCATTAACACTTTGGATTCTCCTTTTGATGGACATAAAAAAAGTGCCTTATCTCATTAATTTTTATTACTAAACAATGCAGATTTCTGGCAGGAACCGAGTTGCAGTCCCCAACAGTCAGCATTATCATGTTGCTCCATATACACATATAGGTAGTTATGGTAGCTTAGGAAGCCATGGCAGTTACAATGATGGTGGTGGCCTTGGAAGCAGCTATGGAAGCTATGGTGATAGTAGTAATTTACATGCATATTATTCCCCAGCAGGGCCATCTGGGATGCATCTTTGTGCACAGAATGGTTCCTCAATTCTTGGAAGCAGCCCAGACACAAGGAGGTTTATGCATCTTCCTCATGGGAATGGACTTGGTGTCAGTCCAGGAAACTTTGTTCCTATGTCCCTTGGAACTAGTCCCTCACAGTTTACTCCTCCCAGTATGTATAATCAGATTTCAGCTGGTTCTCCTGGGCAGTATGGTCCTACTTCCCCTGCAAGGGGAAGCTGTCATGGATCACCGTTAGGAAAAATGGCAGCAGGTAGCCAGTATAACAGAAGAAAAGGATGGGGATACCATGGAAGTTTACAATCTCAAGAAAGTTCGTCATCCTCTCAATGGCAAGCACAGCCTACAGATAGTAATAACTCTAGCTTGCCCAACTCTCCTATTTCAGGTGGTTCTTTATTGCATCTACAGCCCAACTCAAACCCCACAGCCTGGAGGCAGCAAGGAGCTAGTGGTCTAGCTGTTGGTAACTCTGCTGCTCATAACATCACAGGTGCAGCAAGACTTGGTTCCCACACACAACTTATGCACCTTCAAGGGAGTAGACATGAAAAACCTGAGGCTAGTACTTCATTGCCTGATCCTGGAGACTGGGATCCAAACTACAGGTAAAAGAGGCTATGATTTTTCAATTGTGTATGATCAATATTGTGCTGTACAAATATGTTCGTTCATGTTTCCAAATTCATGGCATCTATGCTTTACAGTTCTTTTTCTTCTTTAGGAAATTGGTAAATTATGGACCCTATGCACCAAGTTTTTTGTAACCATTTAAGCAGTTGACCTTTAATTTAAAGGTGTCAAGAGATAATAAGTTGGAAGGTCTGTTGGGTGTCAAGGAGCCACCACCCACAGGAAAGGTTGAAACTTAGGTGCTAAACAAGAAATTAGAGTAGACAGTGATAAGATGGATTGATAACATGATAAAATGAGTTACAAGAGTCTAGTATCTACTATGGAGTATCTAATTATCTATAGGCTATAGAAATACATAAAAGTGTTTATATTCATTACTCTTAATTTTAGAACATGTGGTAAGTATGGGACTATGGCTCTTCAACTGCCCTTGAGATCCCACTGGTGATGATATGGAAACTTGCACAACACTATAAAGCTTTCAAGCAAAAGGCAAAAAACATTTAGTATTTCATCATCAATGGACATTAAATAAAGTAACCTATTCAGAAAGAATTCTGCAGTTTCTTTCGAACAGATATCCTTGTGCATTTATAACTGTCTTTGTCACTTCTTCAGTGAAGAGTTACTTTTGCAAGAGGATAGCTCAGATATGAGCAACATGACTACGGATTTTGTCAAGGCAATGAATCTTGGTCAACCTTTGATTTCCAAGGAACAATTGACTGGAGTGAGGAGATCCAGCTATGGATCAAATTTAGCCCCCGGTTTGACAGCACAGAGGTCCGTTGTCTTACTGCAATTTCTGGGTGGAAAACACACTTCCATGTTTACTTTTATTCATGGTGCAGTTTAAATATATGAAATTTGCTGGACATCTTCAAACCAAACTTGCTCTAATTTATTTAAATGCATGTAGATCCAGTAAAACTGAAATTTCAAACCTTGATTTTCTCAATTCAGGAGGATAATAGCCCAACAAATTTTAGATTAGGAGGATCCCATTGTGTCATTTATTTACCAATGCTTCTGGATAAGAAACTGAGCATTTGGGTTCTTTCTTCTTTTATGTACTGCTATAAATCTTTTTAAACAATTGTGAGTTGTCTCCACAAACTTGAATTAAGGAAAACTTTAAATCCTTTTTTTCATTGTTTTTTGCCACCAGACCAAATGTTCCCGTCCAAACAGTTTTTCATGGAGATGTGGGAATGCATCCTTCAGCTCATGATCTACATGGAGGGTTTGCTCACACCATGGCAAAACCATTATATTTTCTGCCACACCTTGCACAAAGTTCTCCAAGCCGGTTTTCGCAACAGCCTGTTCATCGGTTTAACCAAGGGAGATTGGCAGCTATTCGTGGCAATGATTACCATAATAAGGCTCATGCTCCTCATTCCAACTTTAGCTCCGAGGATTATCCTTCTGAAACCAATGGGGCATCATGGGGTAATTACTTAATTTTCTGTTTGGTCTTTTAAGTTTTGTTTGTGTGTCCAGTATAGTTTATATTGCCTGTTGGTTAGGAATAGGAAAGTGCAAGATATCATATCTGATGTATAAACAAATGCTGCCACTCTCTTATAGGCCGTAGAGGCAACTTCTCTGCTTCAAACATTCCACCTACTTCCCGCGCAAGAAAAGATTATGGAAGAATGGTCTAAGTAGCTTGTATCCAACTATAGGGGACATATTGATAGGAGCTGGCAAGACCACATTTAACTATGGTTGTACCTGCCCTCTCGCACTTCACTTATGGATCCAAAGTCAATCTCTCTTCATATTTGCTCGTGTAAATGTAATTCAAGATCCCACCTTTATCTTCCGGTCATGTGGTTGCAGTTGCCTAGTTTATGCTCCTCGTATGTCTGGACTCCGGCTTCTAATGACCTATTATACAGGGTGGTGGTGGTGGTGTTTCCTTCAAGATTTTATTTATTGGGAACTATTAGATCAGGCCTCGATGGTGCTTGGCGGGTTTGGATGAAGCTTGGCTGGTGATGGCTGATGGAATGAAGACTTCTTTAAATGTAGTGTAGTGAGGTCTTTGATCACTGTTTCAACTTGGCCACTCTCTCTGTAAAACTAAAGTCCAGGTTCTAAAGACCTGGGATTATGCAGTATTCATTCTTGTCATGTCCTGCTCTTGTTTTTATCCAGAAAATCCAAAAAAAAAAAAACAGATATTATATATCAATAGGACAATATGAAGCAGTGATTGGTTGCTGTTTTATGAAGGGTTTGTGAAGTGGAATTAGTTACCTTATCAGAACATTCTAGTGTTTTTGCTCTCTCAACTCTATATCATGATATGCTTCTCTTATTAAATTTGTTTAATTTAATTAGAGTAATGAAATTATAAATTAAAATATTTTCTTTACATGTTCTGCAATATATTGGATGACTGACTTATATTATTAATAAATTAATAAATAATTACTAATAGCCGATATTGACGTTCAATACTTCAATGTGTTTGATTGATACAATCTGCACTTGTTTTATTGTACTTTTAGATTGGTGGTTATCAAGTCAGTCTGTTAACAGTCTATCCAGTTTGACTTGGTAGTTATCAATCTATCAGGGTCTAACTAATTTGAATGAGGTTGTCACGTTTATTATTATTGTTGTTGTTGGTTTTATGTTTCTCTTGTTAGTTGCACGGTTATGTGTTATTATTAATTTATTATTATGTATCATGTTGGTCAAAGACATCATGGTCGAGAGTATAATGGTATGTAAATAGAAAATGTATATTTTATTTTGAACTCTATGAATTAGTGCTTATCTTATTTATAATTTATTAATCAATTTAACTCTTTTTTAGTTACTTAGTTAATTTTTTATATTTTTAAATCATTTTTTTTTGTGTTTAATAATTTAAATATATAAATTAATATTAAATTAAATATTACAAAAAAAAAGTTAAATTATACGGAGTATTAATTTAAAGAAATGTTAACATAGTTTTATTACTGTATATTTTAATAATAATAATAATAATAAAAGAAGCTAGAAGGGACACGTGTACAGAAGGCGGAGTTTGCAAGAAGCAGCACGAGCACCACTCAACGTAGGAATTGATATCCGATCCAGTCAATCATCCAATGGCCTAAAAAATTGTCAGTCTTAAAAATAAATTATGAACGATAAAGAAACGAGGGAGAAAAAAAGAAAAGAAAAAGCAAAAAATATGATAAAGAAAAAGATAAATTTAAAAAAATGGTAGGAGAGATACAGTTACAACGGACTCAGCGAAGCAACGAACGGCCTTGTTTTCTGCACTCTGTGGACTGTGGGAGAGCATTGGATTTGGAGCTCACACTTGGCACTCGCACATCGTTCTTCTGTCGTCAATCGTCGCCGGAAAGTTCAGGTACGACTGCCGCTGATTCCACTCCGATCCATTCCATTCTGCTGTTATTTTGTTTGTTGAATTGATCTACAGCTAACTAACTAATCATCTATATTCTTAGAGCAAGTAGATGTACTTGAGAAGTCACTTTGTGAGCTGGAAATTGAGAATTACAAGCATATTTCACTTACACATTAATAAGTTGCGTCTTTCACCAGTAGAAAATTGAATCTATGATAAATCTAGGGAGGAACTTTGTAGTCTGTTGCTGTCTCAGCTTGCATTCCTGCTTGTCGATTTAGAGAAAAAAAAAAAGGATGATTTTCAGGAAACAGTGAGATATATATTGTCTTCTTGTTCTTTTAAATTTCAATTAGTAGTTACTAATTTCCACAGCAGACTGTATTTCAGTTCATCTTCTGTTGTTGTTGTTGCTGCTGCTCTGTCTCCGTTGAAGGGGTATCTTGTCTACCAGGAGTTTAGCATAGTGGTCAAGTAGAAATTTCTTCTGGCAGTGGAGAAGTTCGTCCTCTCATTGAGTGGCATGATTGTGGTTCTGCTTCCTTTTTAGATACTGTGCCTAAATGATGGTCACTGCCACCATTGTTGGACTTAGTGCTGGAAAAAGGCTCCTCTGCTCTTCCTTTTATTATTCTGATTTTGGTGAAAAACTGTCATGTGGCAGCGATCACACCTTACCATGCCATCAAGTTCTGTCTGTGAACAGTACTGTCATGGCTAAGAAGTCCTCCAATTATAGCACAAGTTGTGTCTCCAATCAGCGGATGCATTCCATCAAGGCAATAAAAGAGCATGTGACTGTTGCCTCCAATCTTTTCAACATGGAGCCATGTGTTCAAAGGAATAAACAGCTTCAAAAGCAAAGCTCCGAGGAGGAAAATCAGCTGGAGGATCTCTTATTGTTGCAGAAGTTTATGCTGGAAAAGCAGTGGAATCTGTCAGCTGAGAAATCAACAATGACTTACACTACAATGGAAAATAACTGTAAGAACATTCAGGTTACTTGTTCAGGGACATCTGCTCGACGGAGGAGAATAGATACTCGGAGGCAAATTATCCAGCAAAAAAATTCTGTTGCTAAAATTGATACAAGCAAGCGAGTGAGATCCATCATTGGTATGGAGCAGCTTCAGAATAGTTTAAAAGGCTACGTTAAGGGCATTGTAAGTGAAGAGCTGCTCACACATGGTGAGGTGGTGGAACTATCAAAAATGATAAAACTTGGCCTTTATTTAGAAGAACAAAAGTCTAGGTACAAAACTTTTCTTCCCCTCCTCCCCCAGGCACATTTTTTTTAATAGAACTTAAGAATATATAATCGATGCTTTATTTGAAAGCTAAAATAGTCATCCTATCCTAGTGAAATATATCCTTGACCACCTGTTGTCTTCTGCAAAAGGGAAGCATAGTGTTCTTGGATTGTATTTGTATACCTTTATAATTTGTAATTACCCAGTATTTCCTATCTGCTTTGAAATGGTTTCTGGTTTATGTAACTAATTTTTCCACAAGAAGATTGAAATCTTTGATGTCAATTTCAATAATTTTTATTGCTCTTATATTATTGGGAGGATAAGCAAAAATGCTTTTGCTTCCACCTATGCGATACCCCCCTGCAAAATATTTGAAATGTCCTTACCAAGTTTGTATGAAATGGAAAATTTTAGGCTGAAGGAAAGACTGGGATGTGATCCTTCAGAGGAGCAACTTGCAGTTTCCTTGAGGATTTCTCGTACTGATTTAAAATTAACGATGATTGAGTGTTCGTTGGCTCGAGAAAAGCTGGCAATGAGTAATGTTCGTCTTGTCATGTCAATTGCACAAAGATATGATAACATGGGTGCTGAAATGGCTGACCTTATTCAGGTAATATGGTTTTCCCATAACCAAAGTGTTAAAAAATGGTTGTACTTCACATCTACTAAATATAATGCAGATCTTAAATGGATTAGTTTCTGAATTCTGATTCTTATGTAGGGTGGCCTTGTTGGACTACTCCGTGGAATAGAAAAATTTGATCCTTCAAAAGGATATAAACTATCAACTTATGTGTATTGGTGGATTCGTCAGGTATGGTCTTATCTCATTCTTCATCTAGAAAAGGCTTTTGTAGATATTAGAATCTTGTGAATGTCCATAGATATTGAGTTTTTTGTCTTCCTAGAGAGATTTTAGCATATAGCAAAATAGGATACTCTGAGATTGAACTGAATTCACTAGACTGTATAGTAATGATATGGGAATATAGAACTAAAATTTATTGGTGGCCTAAGTTAAGCTCTGGATTTATTTGCTTCTTTATGCTGTATTATATATTTATATGTATAGGGGCTCATCTGAGTAATATGAAGAGAGTTTCATTTCAGTTTATACATTGTCCAGGGTATCTCCAGGGCATTAGTTAAGAACTCAAGCATGTTAAGATTGCCAAAACATCTTCATGGAAGATTGAGCCTAATCCGGAATGCAGAAACCAAGCTTAAAGATAAGGGGATAACTCCATCAATTGATGTAAGTTTTTTTGTCCTTGTATAAGTAAATAGGAGCAATTATATTTCTTAAAATCATTTTTTTTTAATAAATCTGTATAATGTTAATTCTTTGCTATAAAAGGTAATAATTGACTGAGATCTATGTCTCAATTCTCAAAGTTGTCCATTTTCTGATTAATGGGTTCTTACTTGATCAGAGAATTGCTGAATCACTTAACATTTCGAAAAAGAAAGTCACGAATGCAACTGAGGTACAAAATATTCCCCAGATGATTTAAAAGTTTAGTTCATAAGCTTTTGCTTATAAGCTTTCCTTCTTCCAGGCAGTCAGCAAGGTTTTCTCTCTTGACAGGGAAGCTTTCCCTTCTATAGATGGCCTTCCAGGAGAATCACTTCATAGTGTAAGTCCAAACTTAGCTAGTTGATTTCGTCATTTAAGTTTGAATAGTCATATTCCTCAAATGGCATCAGAAATTCTGTATTCTACTGGTTGTTTTCATTTGGCTAAAATCTAGGCAGTGAGAGTGCCATGGTTTCTTATACAATTTAAAGGCTGAATACTAATTTTACATGTAATGAGGTGACTTGATATATTTGAAGTACTTTTCTGTCACTTACCAATCAGAATGACCTTGTTTCTTGTTCTTTTCTTTAACACTATTCTATCCTCTTTGCAGTATATTGCTGACAGTCACTTGGAAAACAACCCATGGCACAGAGTTGATGAGTGTGCACTCAAGGTATGAGTTTCTACACAGATATTTGCACTTAAGTTTCGTATGTGGCTTGTGTCTTCTGTCCTACATCGAGGATGAACATTGCTGAAAGGTGTCCTCTCTAACCTTTGTGTTTTTCTTGCAGGATGAAGTAAACAACCTCATTCACACAACACTAAAGGAGCGGGAGAGGGAGATTATCCGATTATACCATGGGCTGGGCAATGAGTGTCTTACCTGGGAAGATATTAGTAAAAGGTGAGTCTTAGAACCTTATATCCCATGCTTCTAGAATGATATCAGTCTTCTCATCCATAGAGCCCATCATTTGTCTTTATAAGATATGCAATATGCAATTTGCTCACATCCAAACAACATATGCTAGCTCGCACTTAGCTGCTGATAGATAACTTATGTTTATGGCATTTGCAAATTTCTCTCATAGAATATAAATTGGTAGATGCTTAGTTTCACAGAATAATAAGAAAAAGCTGGAACTGCTTCATTCAGACGACTCCTGTTGGCTTTTGCATCTTGGCAAATTTTTCTAATGGCTTTGCTTATTACTTCAATTCCCCTAGGAAGAACTCATCTTATGTTAGTAGTTTGGCAGTCGCAAATAACTACTCCCTAGTGTAGGGACTCATTACTTCTGAACGCTGAATCCTTGCGTGCCTTTTTCAGGATAGGATTATCGAGAGAGAGAGTTAGGCAGGTCGGGCTGGTGGCATTCGAGAAACTAAAACACGCTGCAAGGAAAAACAGACTGAAAGCCATGCTGGTGAAACAATGACGTTTTGGAACGTTTCTGGCAATGGTAAAATTCACTGTAAATACACAAATCGAGCCATCATATATTCCACTTTCCAGACAGTTGAGAGATTTTCTTTCTCGGAAGATTTTACAGAAACACTAATATAAATCCTAATAGAGTTGTCTGTCAGATGTAGCAAACGCGTTTTAAATTCCCGACAGTCAGGAGCGAACATAGCGTATTGTATATTTGTATGTCATCTAAACTTTATTTTGGAAAATTATTTTAATCCAGAATTCATAGTATTCAGTTTGTGTGTGAATGATATTTAATATTCACGTGATTTTACACGTAATAACTGTATAAACAGAAATTTAAAAACGATTACTATAAGCAATGCCGAGGAAAGAGAGTGAAAGACACGAGTAAACTAATGACAATTGAAAGTAACTGAGTGTAATAAATTGAAGTATATGCTTTATCCTAACTAAAATTTTAAATTAACAATTTAATTAAACATTTATATTTATATATATTATATATATACTCAACATAATATTGGGTGCTCATTGTATGGAGAACAATTACATGAAAATTTTAATGCAAAACTTTTAGAGCTCTATCTTAAGTTTTGACACTAATTTAATCCAAATGGGAGGTTATGAGTTCAATCTTTAGTGAAAGTGATATTAACTCTTTATGTTTCGGTAGGTTGAGAAAATAGTTATAAACAAATATTATAGATTCTTTCTGCCTCAGTAAGGTAGGTTGCGAAAGTAGTTATAAACAATACTAGACTCTTTGTTTTTCGATAGGTTAAGAAAATAGTTATGAATAGATACTACATTATAACAGACTCAATACTAAAAAAAACTATCAGAATTACCAGAAAGTTGGTTAATTTCTACACCAAAGTAAAAATTATAAATAATTTCAATCAATTTTTTTATTTGAATCAGACATTTAAAAAAAAAAAAAAAAAATAGTCGGAGTATGTTATTTTTGTTTTCGGAAAAAGCAGACACTCGCTCCCCATGTCCGATGAGGATTGAGGTCCGGTTCACACAGAGAGTTGGGTTATATATATGTGGCGAAATTGGAAGTTAAAATTTGGATGAAATTGCAGAAATGGAGGAGGCGAAGGCGTTAGCTCAGCAGCATCTCCTGCAACAGATCCAACGCCAGAAGCAGCAGCAACAGCAAGATGCCATGGCTCGTTTCCCTTCCAACATCGACGCTCATCTTCGTCCTCAACCCTTCCTCCACCGCCAGCAATCCCAATCTCTCAATCCCACGCCTAATCCCAATCAGCAAACCCCTAACCCTAATCCCGCCCTCCAGATCCCTATTCAGCAAACCCCCAATGCGAACCCTTCGCAACAGCAACAGCTGCAGCAGCAGCAGCAGCAGCAGAAGCTCAATCGGCCGGCGCAGGCCTCCAATACGGCGGAGCTGCAGATGGCTTACCAGGACGCCTGGCGAGTATGCCATCCTGACTTCAAGCGCCCTTTCTCTTCCCTCGAGGATGCCTGCGAAAGGTTCTTTGTTGTTTTTTTTGCAATGCTGAATGTAACCGTTTTTATTCTTTCGTTCGTGCATTCGATTTGCCTTTACCGCATCCTATCCTTCCTGAATCTGTGGAATATTGCTTTTTCATTCTGCGTCCATGTGATGTGTAGAGACAAAATGAAGGAAAGATGCTAGAAATGGAGTATATTTTTGTGAATAATCATGGCTGTGGCTTTTCTACTGGTATTTAGTAATATTTTTATGTGGACATAGAAGTACCCTTATCATCCCGCAATTGTGTGATTACGCTATTTTGAAGTTGTTTGTTCCCTATGAACTGATTGGTTTGCAAATGAGTGTGCCCTATGTACAAATTGGCTGGGTAATAGTGTTCACTATGGAACAGATTGGGTTGTTAATAGCTTTCCCTCTGAACACATTGATTTGTCAGTAGTTTGAAGGTAAAGTAATATTAGGGCTAGATTTATGTAGCGTTTCCATGTGATTAGTGCCTGTACATTAGGTTGCAAAGTATGAGAATATAAAAATGGATGCTGGCAGTGGGGCAGGAATTTCAAGATGTGTGATTATGTGAATGGCACTAGGTTTATGTGGCATAGCGAAATTTTGTCTTCTTTATTTCCCTTCAATTACTTAAGTTAGACTGAATTTACAGTTCCTTCTGTAGCGTGTTGTATTGCCTCAGGCTATATTCGGTCATTGGGGATTGACCTGCTTTACTGACTTCATTATCACACCCCCACCCCAAAATGATCAAAAGGATATAGATTGAATCATGGTTTCCTTAGGTATCATAGGGTTCCCCCTATAATTTGTTGCCTTGCTTCAACTTTGACTACAATATATAGTGGCATACAATTTTATGGACTTGTGGTCTAGTCTTGATGCTAACCAGAAAAAGAACGCAAATCATAGAATTTGAGCTTTAGAAATCTGTTGATATCGGCACAAGGAAGATTGGCCTCAGCAGTCAGCTTTTATATTTATATATACAATGGATTTGTTCATCATCAGTCATTCAGTTGAGTCATGAGTGTGGTGGTTGGTGCAGTATTTTTTGCACCTTACGCTATATGGCAGTCATCTCTTATTTTTACTTGTGTTTGTATTTACTTCTGGAGACTAACTCTTATAGCTCCTTCCTATATTCAGGCTTCTCCCTTACCACGTAGTTGCGGATTATGAAGCAGAGGAAGATGACAAAATCCTTGATTCAGACACAACAGGCCAAATTCTTTCTCGCTCCCAACAATGGGACCACAATATTGCTGCAAAGGTTGCTGAATTTACTGCGACATTTGAGAAACAAGTACTCGCATTTAATATAATTTCGAGGAAAAGAGAACAAGGGGAATTCCGGACAGAGGAGAAACTGCAAATCGAGCAGATGCTAGTGCAAGAAGAGAAGTTGGCATTCTCTGAAATGATGGACATGAGGCAGAAGGCAGGGCGGGAGAGTCATGAAGCTAATATGCAAATGGCAGCTATGGTTCAAGCGGAGCAGGCTCGAGCGGAATCTCAAGCGCGTGCTGAGATGATGTCCCGAGGACCAATTCGAGCAAGTGCACTTGGGCCTCGAGGCGGCAATATTCTGATGGGTCATGATGGTGGGGAGCAAGTGCAGGAAGTGAAAGATGAAGAAATGATGAATGGTTGGGGTAACAACACACAGAAGGATGAAAAGGAGCCTTCAGAGGATTTTCTGAATGATGAAGAAACAGAGAATGGAGAAGGTGGTGGTGGTATTCAGAGCGACTGGCGTGGAGGGGGAGAGTTGGATCTCAACACAAGATGAATCAATATGAATCTTTACAAGCAGAGGCATAGACAGTTGGCTGGCTTGTGTACCAACTACCAACTACCAGGGAAGAAGAAGCAGCAAGAGAAACGTTACAGTTACACTCCCTTTTAACTTGTTATGATATGATTTTTGTGTCAGGGATTGTTGTGTTGTACAGAAGCTGTACCTTCAAATCATCTCTTCAATTGTACTCTTACTAGGCACAAATTTTTAGGGAAATGCAGAATCTATCTCCAATTGCTCTAATTAATGATTGAAAATAACTCGGTCGAATATTGGGTGCTCATTCTATGCATAATAATTGCTTTAAAATGAACAATCAATTGCATGAAAATTTTAAAGTAAAAGTGTCGAAACTCGAAAAGCTCACTAAATTTATGTGTAATCAAACTATTACACAAGTAAGATATGTGTGATTAGAACTTTTTTTCGATTTCTAGTCTAGTGAATATATACAAGCAATGTAACAGAATTTTAGCGGGAGAAATTTTTTTTAAAAAACCCCCAATTATACATTTCTTTTTCAACTTCTTTACAGTAACAAACATCAATCTTTTAATACTACTTCTCTTTCTCTGCCTCTGGCAATATTTTTCAATTATTATTGTCTTCAAGCTTGTGAGGTTAACTCAGTTTCATGGCAGCAAATGATGTAGCCACGTCCATTGCATCATCTACATGTGACAAACCGGTTGCCTGGCGACACAAAACACACGTAATTTCATCAACAAAGCAACACAAACAACTCCTCAATGCATGCACCAAAGATAAAAGAAAAAGCCTAATAAATAAGAATAAGTAGATCGTTAGACTGTGAGACGTGTATAATACTTTTTAGTTAAAATGTTTGTAATACTTTTTATGGGTGTATAAAAAAGTATTACATTTTAACTAAAAAAAATACTATACGTTTCAGGTGAGACAATCTCACACGGAACTTACTCTATAAATAAAATAGGAAGGCACTATTTCACGGAGATGGCAATATTACATTTATCCGACATCTTATGCAGAAAAGTAATAATAATAGGTCGTAGAAGAGGTAAACCAAGGTTAAAGTATTCTAACACTGACCTGCCCTTGAGCAAGACCACTTTTTCCTCCTCCGCCCTTACCTCCTAAGGGCTTCAAAGCCGCATCCAGCCAATCTTTTACATTCAATTGATGGCAACTGTCACTTTTTTCAGGCACGCCCGCACACACTAAAACCTTGTTTGCTGCTTCGTCTGTGCTAAATATCAGAACTGGCATCCCCTGAAAACATCCAGAGAAGTCAAATGACACACTTTAGAGACAATGTTAGCTTGTGATTAATAAAAACAGGAAGCTTCTAGTAACCTTCTGTTCCATGACTTTAACAACTGCTTCACGAACAGCAGATGTGTCCAAACCAACACTGACACGCAAGACACAGTAAGTCTTTCCATGAGAAGTAGCAACTTCCGACATTTCTGAAGCAGCTTTCAGAACCTTTTGAGAGTTCTCTAATGCAATCTTCTTTTTCGCTTGTATCACTTGAGTCTGAGAATAAGATCCATCAAAAACCAGTACGGAGTACAATTTTATTTTATTTGGTTGTCTAATTCACTTTTGGACATAATACAAGAACAAGGACACATGTACCTGAAGCTTTGAGAGTTCTTTCTTGAGATCAGCTTTCTTGACTGCAGGAATATGTGCCCTCTCCACCAAAGCATTTAGAGAAGTCACTTTCTGAAATCACATGAAGGGAATATGGCTAAGTTACACATCCAAAATTCAACGATATAAGGTCATCATGCAGAACAAAGACAGTAGCAGCAACAATCTGCACTTTTTTTCTTTTTTCTTTTTTTAATCTTTCCTATTGCCAAGAGTCTCAGCACAAGCTCTTGGGATGGGACTAACCTGGGATTCTACTTCAAATGAATATATAACCAAACATCACAAAAACTGTAGTAACACACCTCTCAGAGCTGGAGCAAATACACATAGCTAT